AAGGAGGGGAGGGCGGTGGCGAGGGGGTTGTCGAGGTGAGTGATGGGGCGGAGAGGGTCGCGGGTGAGGGAGGCGTATTCGTTGGGTTTGGGTTGGCGGGGGAAGGGGGCGAGGGCGTCGGCGGTGGTATCGGCGTCCTCCATGGGTTGGTCGTTAGGTTTCGAGTCGGAACCCTCGGCGGAGGTGGGGGGTGTGGGGAGGATGCGGTTGAAGAGGGAGACAAATTCCGGGTCGTCTAGGGCGGCGGATTCGAGGGGCGGGGTTATGGGACGCCAGGTATCGTCGACATAGCCCTCGTTCCAGACCTGGTGCCGCTGTTTGTGCTCGTTGACGAAGGTGCGGATGCTGTCGGCGCGCTTGGCTTTCTGGTCCTCGTACATGATCACGTCGGATTCCATAGGGCGAACCGCAGCGGGCAATGACGGCTGCTGACCTGCTACACGAGCTCGTTGGACCCCTGCTTCGGGTCGAGGAGCTTCTTTTCGTTTGGGCTGGGGCGGAGGCTGGAAATGGTGAGTGTCTCGTTCCCTTCGCGGTCGTGCAGTTACTTACCTGATTGATGAGCAATTCCATGTCCCCCTCCTTGATTCCCAAACTCCGTTTCGCCTCGAGCAGCGCTCTCCGTTGCCGGAAAATGAGCTCGTCCTGTGCCAACTGATCCGCCTTGGCTCGCTGAAACTGCACGACGAGGTGGCAGAGATATCGCGACGTTTCGTACTGCCGCCGAAACGTGAACAGCCTCTCCGTCGCCTGCGCATCCCGTCCACGGGTTTTCCGCACCTGCCGCACCTCTCGTCGTCGGAAACACACGTAAGGATCTCCGTCGTCCGTATCGGCATTCCGCTCGAATTTTAGGGACGACATGAGACTATGGTTCTCGCGGTCCCTCCGCCTATCCTTCCAATGCGGATAGATATCCGCGGCGAACGGACGCGATGCGTCGTCCACAGTGTCATCGAACCCGCCTTCCAGCTCGTCGAGACTGAGGATCGGTGTGTTTGGATCGACGGACGCGAACGGTTGCCGGATTTCCGAGACCCGCTCGAACGCGCTCATGACCACCTCGAACTGATCTTCGGTGCATTGCTCCTCTTGGGGCTTCTTGGCATTCAGTTCCCGCAAGAAGGCCTCATCCTCCTCATCCATGCAATAGGGGCTGCCCACGCAGTCCTCCACCGTGGACGAGAAGCGAATGTACGTCGCTGGCTGGCGGAAGTGCCGCGGATACAGAGCCTCATATTGGAGGCTGCTCGCTACTGCCTCCGGAGTGGGGATGTAGATGTGAGCCGCTGTCCCACCCGCCTGTGCCGCGGATATGACTGCCTGAAGATGATGTTCCTGCCCGATCGTTAGTCATCGTCATGTAATATCACGTGACGGTGTGGCTTGGGATCACGAGAATTGCGTCACGTGACGCAACCCAAACCCGCATCGACAACCAGCGACCCAAACAGCGTGTAAAATTCTCGAAAATGACGGGATCGTAGTGAAGGTGAGTTCCAAATACCGGAAACGATGAGAAATCAATAAATTCGGATGGTGGTGGTGAGGGCAGCGGTGCAGTAAAAAAACTTCACGGGTTGACTCACCGTTTCCTCACCCTTCTCGACGCCAGTCTCGATGCGCGGGATATGTCTGGCGGCATCATCATCTAGCGACTGGTCGACGTCGCTCTCTCGTAAAATCGGCAGACTCTGCTTAACGGACAGCTTGCGCTGCCGAAAGCGCTGAGCCGTGACCATGTTTAATTTTTTTATGTCCCGTAGGATTTATTCTGGTGATGAGCGATCATCAAAACCTAGTGACGCGACTGTGTCACGATGGGGGCGGGCGAGGTGCCAGATGGCCGAAGTGGCAGGCGGTGCGGGGTGGGTGTTCCGTGGGTGGGTGAGCCTGGGATGGGCGGTGTGGGTGGGTTTGGGTGGTCGAAGTGCCGGGGGTTGCCAGGGAATTGAACGTCGGTCGCAAGATTGGAACGGCGTAGCAACAGGAACCAACGAGCGACGATGCGATTGTATAGAAATTTCTCACTGCGCAAAACACCGGCCCAGGTGGCATAAAATGAATGAAATTCCGGTCAGAGATAGAGAATGATGAGGGCTATCTCGCCAAGTGAAAATCGAGAGTTTTGAGATGGATTTGCGAGTGGGACTGGATGGAATGAGTGGTGGAAGAGAGGATGCGAGATACGTTGGTTGGGGTGGTGAGAGGGAGGGTTGGTGGGTGAGTGCACTGTTGTGGTGGTGAGGGGGAAATCGCGATGGGTGATGGCAAAAGGGAGGAAGGAGCACAAGCTGGAAGTGAAAGCTGAGTGAGCGGAAATCAGGGGGGTTGTTTGTTGCATTCACTTCGCAATTGACAATTCACATTTCATGCAATCATCTTTTACACTAGTGGAGGAGCCATACCCAATTGGGCATAATGCGTGTCACCAGCAACGAGAATCAGTAACTTTGCAGGGGTTATGTTTGTTAGTCAGCTAACAAAAAGTGAACTTGGCCCGTGTGCTTATCAGCCACAGATCACCATGCGGCTCATGTTGGGTGCCTAACTGAGTGGGCTAGTGGCCTTGTATCCTTGTTGCCCAGTGATACGAAAAAGGGGCATAATGATGTCGGCTTCAGAAGTCCTAAGGTCAATTATCTAAGTCAGATATCCTGCATGGCTGCATCTTCAGTGCCTGACATATACGAGAGAAATTCTTCCTGCAGCCTACTATGTTCGCCTGCTGTGGCACCCACACTTCGGATAGGGCTGCCTGGGGAATAATTGTTTAACGGGGACCAATGCTACTGGATCATTGCACACCTCACATCGTCCCTTGATTCCTTTCCCTATTGACATTCAGCATGATAGATCTTGAACTCACGATATGCTTCTGATCCCTGGTTCACACCGCCCGTGATACATTAACCAATGTCCAATGACATCAGTCCGTCGGCATAACTCTAGCAAATCATCACGTGGACACCCAATCAAACCCCTGTCCCACCTCTCGACGTCACCTCAACCTTTTGACAATAAACCTCCTGGCCTCCTTGAGTCCCGACCTCCCACCACTCCCGACCCACCCCTCATTCCCCAGGCCATCAGATGTAACCCCTCCCTACAATGGCCCTCCGCCCCTTCCCCCTCCCCATCCGCATCGGTACTGACATCTGCCACATCCCCCGCATTGCCTACCTCCTCACTCCTCACTCCTCCCCTTCCTCCCTCCGCTCCCACCGCCTCACCCGCTTCGTCACCCGCCTCCTCCACCCCATCGAAGCCGCGCATTTCTGGAACCGATACCGCCGCGCTGTCGAGGAGGTGCCGGACCCGGGAGACAGGGACGCTGGCGCGAGGGCGTGGACGTCGCGGTTTTTAGCCGGGAGGTACGTTCCCTGGATCCTTGGCTAGCAGGTGGCTGCACATCCGCTGATATCTCCCTTCTTCATGAAATAGATGGGCCGCGAAAGAAGCCGCGATCAAAGCTCTCGGCTACCGGCCGCCGCACGCGTTTCATCAGATCGTACTGTATTCGGCGCCGACGGCAGCCGATGGGACGTCGGTGGCGCCGCGGCTGATCGTGCTGGATGAGGTGAATTTCACGCGAAAGGGGAACGCGGGGTGGGAGGATCGGAAGGATGCGCTGGGGGGGATGGAGGGCCAGGAAGGGTTGGTGTCGATTAGTCATGATGGGGAGTATGCGACGGCGGTGGTGGTGATGCCGGTGGTGGTGGAGGGGGCGGGATGAGATGGAGAGCGGAAGGACGGGGTATGGAAACTGTCTATCGGTTGGTTTAGAGCCTCTGACGATGGATCGACGTGGTGGGAGGAGAGAAAGTGCTGTAGGCTGGGGAATATTATCGCTGGGTTCGAAAGCGCGGAAGACGGTCGCTGGTTTGTGGGAATCGGCAGATCTGATTGTGTGATGAAGACGGATATCGCATCACGGTCTTCGCAAATTGCGGCTCTCTGTCCAGTTGAAAGGACTTGACGGAACCTCAATGCGATCGAGGAACAAGTGTGGTGCCTGTGATGGTCGGAAATTAGTTAGGATGCGCCTCTGGAAACTGCGGCATATCTGTTTCAATCCGGACATTTTGGGCGCTACGGAAGCCGAGGGTTTGGAAGGGATTTCAGGCGACGGCTGTGAGAGCAGAGGAAGTGAAGCCCATAGCTGCCATATGGGCTCATCGGAGGAGATTCGCACACACAACGCACTACTTACCCGCCGTGCGACGATCGCTGCTCGATGCGTGCAGATTCAACGACCTAGAATCGCCGGGTGCCAGACGGCGATATCAGATCAACGTCGCAAACGTTGGAAGACATCACCAAGTCAAGATGCAGCAAATCATGGTTGACCATTAGTTGGTCAGGAATTCTTCATTGCTAAGGACCCAACAGATCCCATGATCCCATATAGTTCAGTCTATCGTATCGATTTTCTCATAAATTCCGCGCCGCCGAATTCAACGCCCATCCCAGGTATTCCCAGCAATCCTCCATCGCAAGCATTCCTTTTGCGGAAGAGGTGATGCCGTGCGTCGCGGCGGATTAGAAGAAGCGGCGGAGGGGTTTGGCCGACGGGGGTTTGGCGGCCGCCTTCTTCACCGTCATGCCCGCGTCTTTCTCCTTCTCCGCCTTCTTCTCCACCGTGCCCGCGTCCTTCATGACGATCTTCCCGTTCCGCTCCGCCGCCTCCATCTTGGACCAGTCCTCCGACTCGGTGGTGCCCGCGTCCTTGAGATCCCAGAGGCGCTGGTACACCCCCGCGTCCCAGCCAGTGCAGACCAAGTACTCCCACCAGAGCCGAAGGGCCGGGGTCTCGTCAGCGTCGGTCTACAATGAGAAGTTAGTAGAAATCACCGAAGCACGAACGAGGTAGACATACCGCCTCGAAAGCAAGGAGCATCTTCTCCACCGTGGTGGTGAACACCTCCATCTCGGCCTCCTCCTTCCAGCTACGCACACGACGAGCGAAGTTGAAGAGCTCATGCTTTGCCTTCGCCCAGTACCGCTCCTTCTCCGCTTCTATGTCAACCTCGGAGAGCACCGTGCCGCCCGGCGTCACCGTCTTCCCTGCCGGCAGCCGCCCGTTGTAGCGCATCTCCGGACAGAAATGCTTCATCATCTCCGCCTTGAGCCACGCGGCGCGGTGCGGGTCTGCTAGCTTCTGCGCCCAGTACATCTTGACGTGGTCGGGGACGCGCTCGCATTGGGTGTCGTAGCCTAGGCGGTCGGAGTTGCGGGGCTGGTTGTACTGCCCGAAGTAATGGAGGTCGTCGCTCTGCTTGATGAACAGCGCGACGTTGTCGTACGGGTTGTCGACGATGTAGATGTCCGTATTGAAGAACGCAGAGAGCTTGGCGCCGTGGGTGCCGGGATTCTTGGGGAGGTACGGCTCCACCTTCGCGTCGAACACGTAATAGAAGCGGGTGGGGATGATGCCGCTCCTGTATTGAGAAACTGGTTAGTCGAAGCTCAGAATTCTGTGGGAGGGATTGTAGGAGGAAGAACCTACGCATCGCAGAGGTACATCCCAGGGCTGACCTCCTTGCCCCGGAGCATCAGGTGGATGAACTTCTCGCTGAAGCTCTCGTTACGGAACGGGATGTCCGCGATGAGGTCCCGGTCGACGTTGGTAAGGCGGCGGATGTACGCCGGCTTCCAGTCGGGTTCGATCACCAGGCTCATGGCACCGATGTCCTCCACGGACTGACGAACGCTGCCGTGGGTCCCATCATCCGAACGAGGCGCCCCGTTAGCGACGAACACGGCCGAGCTGCCCTGGATGCTGTCCATCTCGCTCCCGGGTTGCTGATCCTTGGCCGCGGCCTTCTCCTCTTCACGTTCGGGGGCGGCTTCAGCGGCCCTAGTCCAGGTCAGTATGTACTCCAGCTTCTCCGCGCTCAAGAGCGTTAAAGGCGAGATGGTGGGTAGAGGAAAATAGTAGAAGTAGTAGTCTATTTTCTACGCGATTGGAGGGTCTGGAATATGCGGTGGAATAGAGGAAGGAAGTAGAGGAGTAAATAAACTCACAAGCTCAGGTGGGAATTATAAACGCCTTTGACTCCATTTACCATCTTGACGGGTCCATTTGCTTGCCCATTCATGGGTCCATTCGTGTTGATGATAGCGGGGGTCTTGATCAGACCCGCTTCTGATTTATCAGCCTTGACGACGACATACCCATTCGTCATGTGATCCGCCTGAACGGTCGCGGTGTTCACCTTCTCAAGCCTGGCCTTGACATCTTCGAGATCACTTCGCATGCTAGTGATGCCCTTGGAGAGCGTGGTGTGCATCTGTTCGACCTGAAGCTTGAGGCCTCTGACCTCTTGCTCGATCACCATGGGACTGCTCTGCAAGTTGCGCTTTGACTTGACGTCTTCAAGGTCGTTTCGCACACTATCAATGCCCTTGGTGAGCTTGGTATGCAGCTGCTCAGACTGAAGCTTGAGCCATTTCACTTCCTGCTCGACCGCCATGGGGCTGCTGGGCGAGTTGCCCTTCGCCTTGTAGTCGACGACCTCATCTCGCAAGCCGGCGATGCTCTTGGTGAGCTTGGCTTGCATCTGCTCAACTTGGAGCTTGAGCCACTTGACTTCTTGCTCCATCGTCATAGGGGTTTTGACAGAGTTGCGTGCCCCAGGTATGGCCTTGGGATGGAGTGGGGCTGGAGGGCTCCACTCGATCATTGACGATGGAGCGAAGACGGGATCCGACGCGTCAAGGGCCTGGGCATCGGTGCAGGTCTCCACCTTCACCTTGGAGTTGGCGGGGTTATGCATGGAGTCTTTCAATGTCTTTGAGTTCTTCGACATGATTAATATGCCAAATCTTTCAACACCACGGCAAGTAACTGACAGCTCAAGTCAGACGTTGATGCAATGTTACTAAGTGCTGTTAGGATCACCTACATGTTGAAGCCGGTAAGGTTGAGTTCTGAGCTGGGGGAGTTGATAGATGGTGAGGTTTCAGTGAAGCAAATATCACTGACGTCGATAACACTGGTGTCAATATCACTGGTGCTCGAAGAAAGCCCTGAGATTGAGACCAGTGTCATGGTTATATTAAGTTAATAGCTCTAGGTTAGGATCGCTTACCACTGGAATGTGACTGTGATGTTACTGGCTCGACGATACTATCCTGACAGTGCTGCTATGCCGACGACGATATCTCTGGCTCTTGACGATGACTGGATTCGAATCAGAGATGATAAGAGATAAGGTTAAGCGTTGAGACTGATCTCTCACCGAAGAAGGGTGACGGTGATGGTACCCACTGCTCGAAGTTGGATGTCAGACGACGATGATATCACTGTCTCATGAAGCCGAGACTCAAGATCAGTCAACCAATGAAGTTTGTTCAGAACCAACCAAGTCTGACGATGATTATCAATAAGGGTAGGATGTTGAAGAAGAGTGAAATAGTGAGAGGGATGTTTGTAAAGAGAAGAGAGAGTATGTGCTGCTCGAGAAGATAAACAGAAGGCTTCGAGGGAACACTAGGCGGACTGGCGCTAACGCCTTTCGGATATACGATTGAATTCGGATTCACATGAACTAGCGCTCAAGGCGGGGTTCGGAGGTGTTATACAGGTGCGAGAGGATTGACATCGAGGGGGGCTTGGGTTCAGTCGGTGGATTGAACAGGGAAAGGGTCTCGAAGCCTGCGTCAGCTGATATATTGATTGTGGACGCTCAAAACCTATTGGGATACGAGCGCAATACTGGAGAGGTCACAAAGATGCATATACTGGTTGAGAATTCGATAATATAAGTGAGCGCTTGAGGAAAAGCATCGGGGGGATTTCGGCTATATCGGGGATATAGGGGTTTCGTGCGCTGGGGGGAAGGGGGGAGCGAAAGCTGAGGAGCGTCGCCCGGGGCTCGAATGATATATGAGGAGCGTCGCACGGGGACAGCGCACAAACAATTAGCAAAGGCAGAATATAACCGATTAAAATCAAACCAGAGCGCTATGGGCACATGGTGTCTTTTCTTCATAACCAGCAAAGGGTATCTCAACGCCGGGCAGGCCGGCCACAATGAATTCTTAGGAAGCGTCGGGCTTCTCGTCGGGCTTTGTATCGGAATCAGGGTCCTTGTCTAGGTCCTTCTTGTCCTCTGCCTTTGCTTCGGAGGGCTCTTTCACCGCCTTCTCCTCCTCCTTCTTCTCCGCCTGCTTGTCTTCCTTCGCTAGCTCGGTCGTCCGCTCGGAAGATTCTGCTGGGTCCGGAGAAACGGTGACAATGAGCTCACCATGTTCGATTGCTTCTGTTTCCTCGAAGGACTGTTCCTGTGCTTCGTCCACCTGCTTCTCCTCCCGTTTCTCTTCCTCAACTGTCAACTCGGGCTGCTCTTCAGGCTGCTCTTCAAGCTTCTCTTCGGGCTTCTCTTCGGGCTTCTCTTCGGGCTTCTCTTCGGGCTTCTCTTCGGGCTTCTCTTCGGACTTCTCTTCGGGCTTCTCTTCGGGCTTCTCTTCGGGCTTCTCTTCCGGATTCCCTTCGGGATTCTCTTCCGGCTTTGAAGTTTCCTCTGCACTCTGTTTCTCCGACACACCATCTGATTGGAATGGATCTTCATCCGATGATGGAGGTGTCAGGACCGCTGATTCAAGGGTCGCATCAAGAAGCGAGACCGAAGACGCGGCGGACTGCGGCTGTGGTTGCTCGAGACCTTCGGATGAAGCGGGTTCCTCCTCTTCTTCCGTCTCCTCAATCGTGGACACAACGACGTTGCCCGATGACGGAGACGCACGGTGGTGGCGCTTCGTCGTGTTGACGCCCCCATTCACCGAAAGCGATTCGTTCTTCTCGGTCGATGGTTCAGGAGGCGGACGTTCCGTCGATTCTCTTCGCAACAAGGTCGGCGCGACGGTCCGTGAAGCCACCGGGGTGATCATCTCCATCCCCTCCGCTTCCGGAGGAACGGTGTAGTTCTCCTCCTGAATCAGTCCGTAATGATCGCACACGGTCTTGAACAGGATGTACAGGCCCGTCTTGCCCTCCACCTTCCAGAACATGTCCCGATGTTGGAACCAGGCGTGCGCGAATATCCGATATACGCGGCGGAACACGTTCGTCAGCTGGCGTTGCTGGTTCCCCGGGTTCGACTCCGTCCCGAGCGCGAGGCGGCTGGGGAAGTTCTTCGGGGAGGTCAAGACGTTCGCGGCCCAATCGAGGGTATGGCAGCAATAGTCGATGGCACAGCACGGCTTCGGCGGATCGTGGACCGCGCAAAGATACTGCCATTCGGAGGCACGCATTTCAGGGCATGTTTGAGATGAGCAGGGGGGTTCGTCCGCGAACAGGGCGGTGAGGATCAGGTTGACTTTCTGGCATAGGAACCGGCATAGCTCGTACAGCCAGATATACCGGTCGACACCCTCCGGCGGCTCTGCTAATCGCCTGGCGGTAGCCTTATCAATGGCGATGGTAGTATCGCCGCCTTCAGGATGCGTGAGGGAGTAGTAGAGGGCCTTCAAATGCTCGGTGAGCTGGAATGCCGAGTCAATCTGGGCATATTAGCATTTATCCAACCAAGTAAACCAGACACGTCGAACTTACATCTGTCAGTTCCACCACCGGCGGACCTTCCGCCATATCGGATGCTTTGGTGCCCGGCCGGACGCGCCGCGATGCCGCTTTGTCGAAGTTCTGCAACTCGCCCATACCGCCGTGCGTTTCAGGTAATCCTGACGTCGGTGACTTTGGACCTAGTTGATCTTCGGCCATGGGAGGGGGGCTAGGGAGACGAGGGGAGCTGGATGGTGAAAGTGGTTGCGCTGCGGCCATGGTCGCGGTGCGGTCGAAGGTCAAGGTCTAGCGGACGTAACACAACAGAGCGGAGCGGACACAGGGGGAAGTCAATGCTTCTACAGCGGCAATTCGCCAACGTATGCGTCAAGCGCCGGAGTTCAAGCTCTGGGAACCAATACGATGTAATACTCTTTGTTCCTATGGACTTTTGAGCAGCTGGAGCGTTGAAGTTGGGTTAAGCAGGTGCGACTCAGCAGGGATCGCGTTTAGCGTTGGAGTTCCAGCTGTGGCGTATATATAACATCAACTGTGGCGGCGATGTCCGTCTTCGTCATGAGTACCGAGTCGGCTTTCGGAGTAAACTAACAAGAATTCCTACTGATATTCGTCTATAAGAACTCCTCGGACGATTTATTTGCAATTCAACCAGGGATTCCACATAAGTTTATACAGGTCTCATGAAGTTGCATGCATCATGAATTTAGACGCTGACGATGACGATGTTCCCCAACTCCTGGCCTCCAACCCCAAGGATGAGGTCGAGCAAGCTCTGGATGGCCAGATTGAAGATTTGAATCTGGTTAAAGTCCCGATCACAATTGTTACTGGTACGATACAGATCCATATGTCTCGTCGGTTCTTTAAGTTCCGGTCATATTGCCCTCCAAGCAGAATTGCTCGATTCTATATCCACTCGATCACGGAACAAGGACATATAAAACGATTCGCATGTATCCGGACTGACAAGAGCAAGGATACCTGGGGTCCGGAAAGACTACCCTTCTCAACTACATCCTTAACGAGCGCCACGGCAAGAAAATCGCCGTCATCCTAAACGGCATGCACCCCGTTCCTCCCCTCCAACACCCCTACTAACCTCCTCCAGAATTCGGCGACTGTGCGTAAACTTCTACTAACCTAACCTCTCTCCTTTCAACTAACCATCCGCACCCCCAGCCGCGGACATCGAAAAATCCCTCACCGTCTCCCACTCCGGCCAGCAGGTCGAAGAATGGCTCGAACTCTCCAACGGCTGCCTCTGCTGCAGCGTCAAAGACACCGGCGTCAACGCCATCGAGGCCCTCATGGCGCGCCGCGGCGCCTTTGACTACATCCTCCTCGAAACCACGGGGCTCGCGGACCCGGGCAACATCGCGCCGCTGTTCTGGGTCGACGAGGGGCTGGGAAGCAGTATTTACTTGGACGGCATCGTGACGTTGGTGGATGCGAAGAATCTGGTGAGGGAGTTGGACCATTCGGTGGGGGAGGAGTGTGTGGAGGGCGGGCACGGGGCGGTGATGACCACGGCGCATCTGCAGATCAGCCACGCGGACTCGATTATTGTGAATAAGGCGGATTTGGTGAGCGCGGAGGAATTAGCGGCGGTAACGGCGCGGGTACGGGCGATCAACAGCGTGGCTCGGGTGGAGGTGACGAGCCATAGTCGCGTGCCGGTGTTGGAGGGGTGGTTGTTGGATCTGCATGCATATGATCGCGTGGATGGGGAGGGGTTGGAGTTCGCGGAGAAGGGCCATAGTCATTTGGATCCGGTGGGTTTTGCGTTTCTCTCTCCTACTCTCTCTACTACTACTACACGTAACTATAAGGAGCGGAAACTGACCTAGACAGACCATCTCAACGATCATGATCCCCGTGCCACCGGTCGCGGAAACGCACCTCGACGCACTGGACCGATGGCTGCGCTCCGTGCTCTGGGAATCGGAACTGCCAGTACCGGATGGGACGATGCCACCGTCATTCGAGGTGCATCGGCTGAAAGGCCTGCTCGCGCTCACCGACGGCTCCCGGAAAGTCATCCAGGGCGTCCGCGAGGTGTTCGAGATCCTCGACGGCGGCGGGCCCGCAGAGTCGGGAGCGGATGGCTCGGGGGGAGCGGCAGAGGGGAAACTCGTGCTTATCGGGCGAGGGTTGGAGAAGGGGTTGTTCACGACGAGCTTACATCACGCGCTACAATGACGTCGCATCTGATACGTAGACACGCACCGCAACCGAATCATGAGGATCTTGGTATTAGCCTTCCCGTTTCTCAACTACAGGTGGGAAAATAAAGAAGAGATATAAACGCTAGTCCATAGTGGTACAGAAACCAACAAATCCTTCGCACCTGTCACCCGTCATCAATATCAAAAAAAACAGGCGGTTGCAAACAATAACACCAAGGTTTCTTCTTTTGGCGGCGTCAGCTTCGCCCTCCCCATCACGCGCTAATAAGAACCGAAAAGTTAAAATGGCGAAACAGGAGCTCTTGCAAGGAGAGAAAGAGTTATGAGGCGGACCCAGGGCGTGACGAAGTGGCGTGCATATACGTGAGTCGCGTGTCGAAAGACCCGGAATCCAGGATTTTAGGAGGGGGCGTTCTCCAACATCTCACCCGCGCGGAGCGGAGTTATCAGGACGAACTGGAGTAGGCCTGCTTGATGTCCTTCTCGTATTTCGTGACGATGGGCTTGCGCTGTAGTTTTAGCGCAGAGGTGATCAGGCCCTAGATGTCGAGATCGCCGGTCAGCATATCGTCGTTTCAATCGCAAAGGAGAAAGAGTGCGCGATGGAATCAAAGGGAGGTAGGGGAAGGGAAATAAAACTCACATTCTGCGGCGTCCACTCCTCATCCGCCAACACCACCCCCTCGATCAACTCGATCCCCCGCAACCCCCCTTTCCTTCCCACGTCGAGCAGCTCCTTCAGCACGGCGGAGATGAGCTTCTTGTCGTGCACAAGATCCTCCAGATGCTCGCCCGCGATGCCCAGGCTCCCCGCGAGCTCCTTGAGCGCCTTCTCGACGGGGACGATGATCGCGATGGGCTTGTGCTTGTCGGCGGCGGCGTACACGCAGATGTTGAAGACGACGGGGGAGGCGCGGTAGATGGATTCGAGCTGGTGAAATATACGTTAGGATCGAGGTGCATTTGAGTCGGACGCCCGGGGGGAATCATACCTTCTCCAGCGCGATATACTCCCCATTCAGCGTCTTCACCAGGTTCTTCTTCCGATCGATGATCTTCAGCTCCCCACGGTCCGAGAACTCCCCGATGTCCCCCGTCCGGAACCAGCCGTCCGCGGTGAACTCGGTGCGGTTCTCCTCCTCCAGATCCAAGTACCCCGACGAGACGGGGGCCCCGCGGATCAGGATCTCGCCTTGGGGCGGGGTGCTGGCGGTAGAGTAGCCGGCGTCGGGGAAGTCGATGAGCTTGATCTCGACGGAGGCGGGGATCTCGCCGAGGGCTTCGGTCGTCCAGGAGAAGGGGTCCATGAGGGCGCCCATGCTAAAAACACGTTAGTTTCCCAGAATCCCAAAGTTTGGTGGAGTGGGAACGTACCCAGTGGTCTCCGTCAGCCCGTAGCCGAGGATCATCGGCGTCACGGCCATGGAGATGAATCTCTGCGTGTCCCTCGCCACCGGCCCACCGCCATTCAGCGCGATTCGTAACCTCCCTCCGGTCGCCTCCCGCACTTTACTAAACACCACCGCATCCAGCACCGCGGTCCCCGGCAACCCCTTCGACGTCAGGAACGACTTCGCCGCCATGGCGCCCCAGAACAAGTTCTTCGTTATGGCGCTCCCAGCGTTCACCTTCCCGATGATGCCTTTCTTGACGGATTCCCAGACGGCGGGAACGCCGACGAGGATAGTAGGGCGGGCCTCGCGGATGTCGCCGGCGCAGTTGCGCATGTTGACGTCGGAGAGGGTGCGCTGGTTGCCGTACGCCATGGTGCCGCCCCAGAAGAGCACGGCGTTCTCGAACACGAATTCGAGGATGTGCGCGAGGGGGAGGTAGGTGAGGAGGACGTCGCCGGGGCCGAGGTAGGGGCCGACGATGACGTCGACACCGGCGACTGGGATGGTTAGCTTGGATGAGGATTGGGAAGGCGAGGGACTCACTTGCGGCGACGACGCTGCTGTGCTTCACTAACACGCCCTTCGGTGGTCCGGTCGATCCGGAGGTGTACATCACGCAGCATAAATCTTCGGGCTTCGGAGGGATGGGATCGATGGGGTTGTCTTCGCCCAATTTCCGCAGCTCCTCCCAGCTATGGACGGTGATGTGGGGGAACGCGGCCTTGAGGTTGTCGATGTCCTCCCGCTTGACCTCCACAGCGGTGTCGTAGATGACGTGGGTGAGCGAGGTGGCGTCCTTGAGCGGCATGTGGAGTTGGGGGAGGAGAGCCGGGTCACAGTAGATGGCTTTCGCGCTGGTTTGCAGGAGGGAGTGGCGGACGCCTTCGGGACCGAGGGTGTCGTATGCGGTGACGATGGGCATGGATTGCGACAATGCACCTAGAGGATTAGCGACCTCTCGTATTGGAGGAATTCCAGCTTACCATGAGCGGTCATGAGCCAGTGCGAGCTACAAATGATATTAGTTGACACGCCATGAAACCCTGAGAAGAAACGTCATACCTAGTTGCGGCAAAAAACTCCAACTTATCCCCCGCCTCCAACCCCAACTTCCTCAAACCAGCCCCCATCTGCAACGCGATGGTCTCAAACTCCACGAAGCTCACATAGCTATACGGGCTGACCTCGAAGAACGACCAGGTCTTCTCCACCTCGGTCTCCTCGCCGTCCACAATCTTCTTCACCTTCTTGATTTCCTTGTGCTCCTTGATGAGCTTTCGGGTGCCGGCGGCCTTCGCGTTGCCGAACTTCGAGGACGCGTACTTGAGCAGCTCGTACATGGTGGAGACGTCATCGGTGGGGCAGGTTTTGAGGCCGTCTTTGGCACGGATGTGGCGGCGGGGGAGAGTCTCACCGTCGATGGGTTCGGCACCGGGGACTTCGACGGTGACGGGGCCGGTTTTGTAGCTCCGGGGGAGGGGGGCCATGGTTTTGAGGTTGGGAGACATGGTGGCGGTGTGGGGGGGTAGAGGAATATGGAGGAGCAATGAATGGATAGTGGATTCAGAGAATGAGAGGAGAAAGAGTTAGAGAATGGGAATGGAATGAGGATAAGGATGAAGATGAAGATTGAGGATGTACTGCAACTGTACGGTACGGATGAAGCTAGAGCCTCCCGGTTTGGCGGTTGGCGTCTGAAGGCAGAGAGGCGCAACTGACCAGGAAAAGCAAAAGAACAGCCAGAACTGAGCAAGAATGAATGAGAATGGGATCCCAGAGATCTGATGAGTGAGGTCTTGATAGTTGGGGCCAGAGAGGGAAGAGAGTCGAGAGAGCGAGATGGTTGAGCCGAATGGGGAGAAGCAGCAGCAGTGGAGCAGTCAGTGGCCCGTGGAGGTCGCAGTTGCTGAGCTGTGCGTCACTCTGGGGAACCGATTTGCCAGACGCTAAGAGAATCTCGTCTCTAATGCAGAGTAATTCTCCAATTCCTCTCCAATCTCCTCTGCTTGCTTACGGTTATTAAGTATTAAACTGAGTATCCCCGGTCTGCTAGCTCAGCTTGTCGTCCCAGAACGTCCCTTGCCTCAGGAAATGCCTAGGCTATGGCCGGGATTTTAATTTTTACCGCGACGGATGGCCGGGAGAGTTGGGGAGATGATCGGGGTCCACTACACCCTTTCGGTAACTCAGTAATCTCAGTCACTATGAGCCGAATCTCGTCTGGTCGTCGTTTCAGGTCTCTTCATCCGATGTGGGTGAATCCAAAGGGAAGTTACGCTATGGATGGAACCACGAACAAGAATTAACAAACAGTTTGAACCACCAGACGTCACACAACCGGTATAGGCTTCAGCTTGTACTTATATCCCACCATCCCATCCCAATTCCCATCCCCCAATCCCTCAGAGAGGCAGAAACCCTCCCAGAAACGGCATCGGTAGCTCTAGACGCTCCGTCTCCCACCTCCAGGCAACCTCGTGTCCCAGCTCCCAGGCCATCTCCAAACGTCCGTCATCCAGATGCCCCCCGCTCCCAGCCACGCACGCTGGTTGGTACTTGGTCATCCGCAGCATCAGCGCGGCGTTTGGTGCTGGTCTTGGGGGCCTTGGGGAGTTTCGTAACTTCCGTGCGTTTTTGGGGGTTGGCGCCGCCAAGATGCACGGCATTGCGGCGATGGTGCGTTCCGCTTGGTCGCGAGCGTTGGTGGTCTTGGGTATATGACCAACAGTATTAAGGAGGGGGTGGCCGGCATTATGGCCAACGTGGTTCCGGTACCTGGAGGCTTAGGGATTACGACGGATGCTTATAGGCCGAGTGGGAGACCTTTGATAGGAGTGTCGGATGCCGTTCTGGGGAAGGTGGAAATGATGATTCACTTATGATCTCGTCGTTGATGCGAGACATTCACAAATCAACAACGCTGGAGTTCTCTCTCCGGTCTCTGCAAGCCACGCCTCCATGTCCCGCGCAAAGTCGCCATACATTCCAAGTCCCAAGTCCCAAGAGACATTCACGTACCGCGACCAAACCATATGACCTGGTGACCATGGCTTCCTCTAGCTCCGTTCCTCGTCTCCGCACTCTAACAGCTCCTTCGAACGGAGCCGGACCCAGAATCACGAACGCACATCTTCACTTGATGCGTCTTCTCAGGATATCCACTCCGTTTCAGTTTTCAGTTGTCACCCATGACGAAACCATACGCTTAGCAAATGCCCTTACTGGGTACTTCAGCAGGGGAGATCATAGTCTCAATGATGATGCGGGGTGAGCTTGCGTATGCGTAGTGTGCAGGACGCACCAATTCAGAGTCCATAATTAGCTTTGGGGCGATGACCGAGTCAGCGTGAAGACTGGAGACTGAAGAATCGCAAGCTTCCCCGCCCCAACAGGCAACAACGCTCCCTACACGAAAAGCGCTGCAGTCCTGCAGGCGTGGCTGCACCGCATCAGATCGTCGAAGCTAGCTAATGGAGGAATCACCGCCATCGGACCGCCTCTCCGACCTTGGTGACGAAGTGGTCGATATTGACGACGGTACGCACCTCACCATCCATCCCACCCAACACCTATCGCTCCTACAACCACAATCCCCTCCCAATTCCGCTCACCTTCGCTTACCCCCTTCTAGAATGCTACTCCCTCTTTTCCCACCCCCTCCCCTCCCAGAATCTTGGCATCCTCGACCCCGACGCCCCCGAGCTGCACCTGGACGTCGCGGGCCGCGCGTGCTCGATCCGCCAGTCGCCAGGTCTCCTCCGCTCGAATCGCGGCGGCGGTACCACGGGCGCGGGTGAGATCCTCCTCTCCTCCCCATCCATCTCCTCCCACCCATCTCCTCCCATCCATCTCCCCGACGGTAGTTCGCGCATGTAGGAGATTCAGGTATCAGATATCAGAGTGAACCGCGCTGACGTGGGTCCGTGCTACAGTCCTATGGAAAGTCTCCCCCCCCCTGGCCACCTGGCTCGCCTCTCCCACGAACCCCCTCTTCCGCCTCGACATCCTTAATTCCCACTCCCACGTCGTTGAGCTCGGCGCCGGCGTCGCTGGCATCGTCGCGCTGGCGCTCGCGCCGCGCGTGTGTCGGTATGTCGCGACAGATCAGGACTACGTGCTGCGGACGCTAAGGGGAAATATCGCGGAGAATGGGACTATGATGGGGGGGGCAGGGAAGGGGAAAGGGGGGAGGAAGCGGGTGGGCGGAGAGATTGAGACGATGGTGTTGGATTGGGAGGTGGATGAGGTGGAGGGGATTGCGCGGGCGTTAAGGGGGCATGTGAACGCGCATGATGGGGGGGAGCATATCGATCTGGTGATCGCGTGCGACTGCGTGTATAACGAGGCGCTGATCGAGCCGTTCGTGGCGACGTGTGCGGATCTGTGTCGGCTGGCGGAGCGGGAGGGGGAGGGAAATGGGGAGGGACGGCGGCGGACGGTGGTGCTCGTTGCGCAGCAGTTGCGGTCGGCGGAGGTATTTGAGGGGTGGTTAGGGCGGTTTGCGGAGGAGTTTCGGGTGTGGCGGGTGCGGGATGCGGAGGTGGGGGAGGGGTTGAGAGGGGGGGAGGGGTTTGTGGTGCATGTTGGGGTATTGAGGTAGGGAGGAGGTTCGGTTACTGTGGTGGATAGTTGGGGTTGCTGTCTGCTGTCTGCGTCGACTGCGAAGGTGAGTGTCTCGTCATAGGACTGTGGCTAGCGATATTCCCAAGGGTTCCGACACCGATGGAGGGTTCGGATGAACGACGACCATATGAAACCAGGCATAAGGAAATGAATCCAAGAAACGCAGCAACATCAAATCCTTAGAACCGGTAGGTACCATACTTAACTAAAGACCTGGCAACTGCTTTCCTGAATGATCCATACCGATATACCCCAACTCTCGAAATAATGGTGACATCTACGGTACCCTTACGCGGTAGTGCAAGAACCAAAGCGAGGATGAATTCATTGATAGATGATTCGGATCGGAAAGGCGGGGAACCAGTCAGACATCGGATATCGGATATCGGAAGATGGTGCATGTTTTCTGGCATGCTTTCTTGCATGCGTAGGTTGGATACAAGTGACAGGGAGGGTGTTGTCGATACATGGTGGAGATGGAGAGGAGAGGGAAACGAGAGGAGTTATTGACGCTGGATGATTTTCACTCACACCCCCATGATTCATTATCGCCTCTCCCTCTCGTCTCCTTTCTCCCCCTCTCCTTTCTCTCCCTCACCGTCACACCAACTAACAACTAGACACGGAGGCAAGTCTAATCCCATTCCGGTTTAGCGCCCTTGGAAGAGCCTCGAAAGTCGAAACACCCACTCTGCCGCCTTGCCGCCTTGCCGCCTTGTTGCCTTGCCGCCTTCGATTCCATCTCTGCACCTCTGTGATTGGCTGAGATGATTGGAACCTCGCTGGCTCGTTGGGTCTTTTGGCTCCCTGGGCGAATTTGGCCGCCATTTTGGACGGTGCATCCGACTATGGTGGCTTCTCGGGGCTTTGGCGTCTCCTGTTGGCTCTCTTCGTCGCCCAGCTCCTCTCCTACTCGTCTCCCTCCTACTGTCCAGTGTCCACTACTACACTGGTCTCCCTCCCTCTCAGGCATCTCTACTCTTTACTCTCTAGTCTCTACTCTCTAGTCTCTACACACCAAAACGCCTTCTGAACATCTTCAATCCTCTCCTTCCCATTCCATTTTTACCCTCCAACTCCCTCCACTCCCACCGTTCTCAACTCTTTCATCCATCAGAAGGATCGCATCCTTTCTCTGAATCCATCTAGGCCTTTTTCTCCCCCTCAGCTGCTCCCGCTGCTCCCAGAAGGCCAATCTTGCCAATCCTCCACTTCCCCTCAACCATCGCCTCCTCACTACCGCCTCCTCTTCCTCCACCAATCCTCCAAATCGACGCGAGATATTCCAGTGCTTCATCGAGGACCCATCCGACGCGGCTTCTGATGCGTGAAATACCCTGTCCTGGGAAGTTGGATCCGTCGTACACCTTATCAGCTCCTCGCCACATCACCGCGTCCTTGCAGAACCCTCTTCCAACGGCTCCATCCCATCACACACCTGCCACGGGGCATTCAGAGCCATTTGGAGGCCAGTCTTCCATTGACCGGGTCGTTAGCAGGCGTCACGGTCAAGATTGCGCCGTGTCTTAGGGCCATCTCGTCGACCGGCTCTTTGCGCCCGACATGAGAATCCCACCGACGCCCTCCTAAACCGCGAAAACTCCCCATCACCACAACACCTGAGATCATCCCGACTCAGAGCGTATTATGACCGACATCTCATCATTGATGCCGCATGCTGACTCCCAGCTGAACTCGATTCCCCCCTTCGCGTCCGCGTCCGCTTCCGCCCCTTCCGACCCTCCTTCACACCCCGACACCAATGGTCAATTCCCTCAGGTCGACGGCGTGGCCGAAGGCGAGGAATCCTCCATCATCAAGTGCTTCTGCGGCTACCTGGACGACGATGGCAATACCGTGCTGTGCGAGGTATGCAACACGTGGCAACACATCGAGTGCTACTACCCCAACGTCGACGTTCCCGAGGAGCACTTCTGCCTCGACTGCTCCTCGAGTCCCCAGGCCGTCGACGTGAAGGCCGCCACCGAGCGCCAGCGCCGCCTCCGCGAGCTGCAGAGCGTCGAGGAGCGGAAGGCCCGTCGCGCGCCCGGGAAGACCCAGAAGAAGCGCGCCAACGTCAAGGAGTCGGGGCCGCCGTACATCAACGGATGGACGCACGAGGGAAGGGAACGCGCGAGTGGAAGCCCGAAGGAGGAACCGCCGTTAAAACGACCGAAGACGAGCCATCGCGCGTCCGGATCGGTCAGCTCGTTGAACCAGACGCGAAAACGAGCCGGCTCCGGGTTGCCGGCGAAGCAGAGTCCGACCGTCTCGCCGCCGACCCTCAACGGATATTCCGGCGATTACTTTTCACCCGAATTCATGCAGTTACATCGTCAGCAGGCGGCGTTCTCGCCCATCGAATCGAACTCATACACCGGCTTGAACATTCCCGATAGTCTACATAACTGGTTGAAGGATCCGGACGCACTAGGCGACGCGACGCACGGGAAGACGCCGGCGGCAATCTTCCAGCGGATCGACACGCCGTTCGAGGAGTTGGAGAAGCAGGCACCGAGCATCACAAAACATAGCGTGGAAGAAAAATCCATCACGGTGCAAGATCAGCATCCGATTCTGCAATGGTTAGCCATCGACTCCGCCGTCCCTCCGAACGCATACGTTGGCGAGTTAAAAGGCCGCATCGGACTGCAAGACGAATATTTCAACGATCCGTCGAACCGATGGGACGTCCTCCACCACCCCGAGCCGTTCGTGTTCTTCCCCCCTCACCTTCCGATTTACATCGATGCCCGAACTGAAGGCAGCCAGCTTCGGTATGTGCGCCGCAGCTGTCAACCGAACCTTCGCATGCAGATCATCATCGCGGACGACACAAACTACCATTTCTGCTTCGTGTCGAAATGCGAGATCAACGCCGGCGACGAGTTAACGGTGGCATGGGACCTCGACGAAAAGACGCGCCAAATCCTCCATCATTCTGTCTCGAACGGCAACGCCCGAAAAGAAGGCATCCACGGTGCCGACGACGCATACATCTCCCACTGGGCGACGGGCGTTCTGGTGAACTTCGGCGGCTGTGCCTGCACGCGCCCCCAAGGGGTCTGCTGGCTGGAGCGGTTCGACCGTCGGAACAACCAGCACTGGAAAGACGCGTCGACGACGCTGAAGCCGAAGGGGAAGAAGGGGAAAAAGGGCGCTAACCAGGCGTCCCCGCTCAGCACAGGGCATGCGACGAACAGCCGTGCCGGCAGTGAAGCGATCCGCGACGAGCCAGACGAGGAGAACGGCGACGGACGCTCGGCCACGGGCTCTTCGAAGAGCAAACCGGCGAGCCGCGACATCACGCCGATGATGCATGTCGACGGGATGAAAAACGAGCTCTCGGGCCGCGACCGGAAGAAGCTGCAGGACGTGGAAAAGCTGTTCAAGCAGCAGGAATATGAGGAGCAGCACGGCCGCAAGAAGAAGCGCAACAGCGGCGGCTCGGCGCTCAACACGCCCACCGTCGCCACGTCAAGTAGTCGCTCCGACGTCAGCGATCCCCGCCGCCGCGGCTCCTCCGTCAAGAAGCAATTCCCTGACTTCGCCCACCCGTCCCCCACCGCCTCCACCGCGCGATCGCCTTCCCACCTCCCCAACGGCGTCGCGCACGCCCCCTCCCCGCTCCACCCCGCCCGACTCAAGCATCCCCGCGCCGAGTACACCAGCATGTCGACGCAGACGGACCCCGACGCCAGCGTGTGGATCCCCTCCCCCGTGCGCGCCACGCCCAAGGGACCGATCCTCTCCCGCAAGCGGCGCCTGCTCGAGCGCGCGCGCCGCGACCGCATCTGTCGTCTGGAGGCTAGCGAAAGTCAAAGTCAAAGTCCGCACATCCCATCAACGGCGTCATCGCCGACGCAGATTAAAGCCGAGCCCGCCGCGACCAAAGATGCCGAGTCCGACACGGCGATGCCGCCGCCGCGGGTGCTGTCCGAGCCTGATCCCGCGTCGACGAGCGTGCCGGAGATCGAGATGCCGGACGTCGACGACACCAACGGGGACGGGGATGGGGAAAATGTAATACCACCCCCCACCGAATCCGAACCCGCACCACGCGATCCGCCCCCGTTACCTACCGCCGCGATCGTGACCACGAAGTCCGAATCGCCACATCCCCTCGCGCCACCCTGGCCATCCGACAAAGCGCCTGCCCCCTCCTCCGACCAAACGGCCCCTCCCCCATCCGAATTCTCCCCCGTCATCTCCCCGCGGACCGCCCTCCCTCCCCTCCCCACAATCGCCACCACCATATCCCCCGCGCCACCGCATCCACTACCGACGCCCTCCCCGAGCATCCTCCCTACGCTCTCCACCACCACCACCAACTCCACCACCAGCAATTCCACGACCCAAACCCCCTCCAACGCCAACTCCACCTCCAACCATCTCACCGACTCCCCATACACCCTCCCTCCCCTCCCCCCACTCCTCTCCCCCTCCCTCACCCACGCCCTCGGCCCCTCCCCGCTCAAGAAGAAAATGAGCCTGTCCGACTACACGAATCGGAAGAAGAAGGCGGCGGGGGCGGGGGCGGGGAAACCGAGTCGATGGTCGGAGGGGGATGGGAAGGAGGAAGGGAAGGAGGGGGATAGAAAGGAGGAGGAGGAGGGGAAGGAGGGGGAGAGAAGGGGGGAGGTGGATAGTCCGATGATGGATGCGGTGACGGAGGAGGGGGATTCGACATCGACGACCCGGGAGGCGAAAGTGGAGGAGGAGGAAGGGGATGCGATGGCGGTGGATTGAACCCCGGAATTTCCTTGAAAAGTCCCCACCCGAAGGAAGCATGGATGGATGGACCGACGAACGGATCCATCCAATGACGAATCATGTACTACCCTCCTCGTTTTGCTCGAATCACTGGTTGGCTGGCTTAGTAGCGCCACCGTCCGCAGTCAGTCCTCACAGAGACTATGTTCTACATCTGTTGTTTTGTTCGGTTTTCTTTTAGAAGGGGACGGGACTTTTGGGGATGTATGAAATAGCGCATATGTTACCTTGATACTTACCTTGACACTTGCTGTGCCGTGCCTTACCGTGCCTTACCATGCCTTGATGGGACGCGTATCTCCCATCCCTATCGTCTTGATTTCTATGTCCATGACCCGTGCTGCTCGCTTCCTGCGCGTCGATCCTTCGTTTCGCGTCGGGGGATGCCATCCCTATGGCGCGACGGAGCCACGTCATCGTCCCTTCGATCGCGTCACTTCGGAGACAACGGTGCGGTGAGGTTCGCCGTGAGTCACCAGGCTGCTAGACTTGGGGGTGGGGGGGATTGCTCGCCGCGTCGTTAGATGGACTGACGCGGGGTGGGGATGGAGGATGGATGAAATCGGAGGGATTATCAACGTGAGCGTGCGGTGTGGGAGAAGCGGATGTGATGCCTCATGGTCGGTGGTAGGATGGTGAGTGAGGAGAACAGACTGTGGACCATGGGATGGGATGGCCTCCATGCCGGGTAGTAGCGGTTCGTCTTGACTCTTGAGGTAATTTAAGTACCCCGGCAACGGGGGATGATCGATATAAATACGAATATGGACATGATGACGTCCGAGGGAGAGATCGGCCATATTCCTTCGGAGTCCTTGCGTGGTGGTGTCCACTTGTGCGCCTGCTACTATAGGAACCTGAAACCTGAAACCGTGACGAATCAGCAAATGATCTACTGTCGGCTGTCGCACGATGAATCGGTAACTGATCGACGAGAGGTTCAGTTATCAGCTAGGTATCAGTTACTAGTTCTCGCCGTCCGAAACATCCGTACCAAAACGTAGGGAACCGGATTGTTCTCCAATTTCCCGAACAAGAAGGTGGTCACGTGAATGCCGATCTATTTACCAAGTTCTTCACCACCGATCGAATGATATAACTCCGTTTATTGTCATCATTCCAATCCCTTTCCCTTCCTATGAAACCCTACTCGCCATTCCGGCTCTTTCAGTCCCTCAAAATCCCTCTCCACTCGATCCGCATCCGCTCACTTTCCAGCGTCTCGTTGGCCAGCCCATCCCGGGAACGTGAATCCCAAACGACGAGTCCCAGCGCGATGATGGCGCGGATCGGCAGCGCGGTGCGAGATCCGAACACGCTGAGCAACTACGATGAGTTCGTGACGAGGCATATTACGGCGAATCTGGAGGTGGATTTCGAGGGGAGGCGGTTGAGTGGGGATGTGGTGCTGCGGATGAGGAGCGTGACGGGGGAGGGGGATCGGGTAGTTTTGGATACGAGGTGAGATGATTGGAATTTACCGTTTTTGTTTAGTTGAGTTTAAGTTGCTTCTCTAAATTATTCGTCGAGATTTCATTACTGTCAAAGATATTGATTACACGAGCAAGAAATAAGTTCGAGAGATATGAGATATGCCGCAATTCGTTTTGGATATCGCCGCTTTAGGCATGGAAGCAAGGAGTATCTGAGAACTCAATTAGAACTACGTTTACTTATCATTTATATAGCTATGTCGATATAAAAGGCATCTCCATCGGAGGCAAGAAAGCAAGCTGGGACATCGCTCCCCGAGTCGAACCATATGGTCGTCCGCTCGCCATCCTCCTGGGAGACGCCGTCCAAAAAGATCAGGAATTCGAGGTCTCTATCTCCCTCAGCACCACCCCCGAATGCTCGGCACTCCAATGGCTAGGTCCTGAGCAGACTTCAAACGGCCAGCATCCCTATATGTTCTCGCAATGCCAGGCCATCCATTGCCGCTCGATCTTCCCCTGCCAGGACACCCCGGACGTCAAGGCGACTGTGGATATCAACATCCGCTCACCGCTGCCTGTGGTGGCGGGTGGCTTGCCCACCGGAACAAGAGACTTCCAACCCGGAAAGGACGGGAAGCGGGGGACGCTGCTCTACACGTTCGAGCAAAAGCTCCCGATCCCGAGCTATCTGTTTGCTCTGGCCAGCGGAGATCTAGCGACGGCGGCGATCGGACCGCGGAGTAGTGTGGTGACCGGTCCGGAGGAGCTGCAAGGGTGCAAGTGGGAGTTGGAGGAGGACATGGAGAAATTCATGGAGGCGGCGGAAGGGATTGTGTATCCGTACGCATGGACGACCTACAACGTGCTGGTTCTGCCGCCGTCATTCCCGTACGGGGGCATGGAGAACCCGATCTTCACGTTCGCGACGCCGACGATCATCAGCAAGGACCGACAGAACATCGACGTCATCGCGCACGAACTGGCGCACAGCTGGAGCGGGAACCTGGTGAGCACCTGCTCGTGGGAGCATTTCTGGCTGAACGAGGGGTGGACAGTGTATCTGGAGCGACGGATCCTGGCCGCGGTGCATGGTGAGGCGCATCGGGATTTCTCGGCCATCATCGGATGGAAGGCGTTGGAGGACTCGGTCAAGCTCTACGGAGCGGACCATGAGTACACCAAGATGGTGCCGAACCTTAAAGAGGTGGATCCAGACGACGCCTTCTCTAGCATCCCCTACGAGAAAGGCTTCAATTTCCTATATCACCTGGAAAAGCTGATCGGCAAGGGGAAATGGGACCGGTTCATCCCCCACTACTTCACCGTCTGGAAAGCCCGATCCCTCGACTCCTTCGAGTTCAAGCAGACCCTCCTCGACTTCTTCGCCGCCGACGCCGACGCCTCCCAGAAACTCCACGACCTGGACTGGGACACCTGGCTCTTCGGCCCCGGCCTCCCGCCGAAGCCTGACTTCGACGAGACGCTGGCCAAAGAATGCTACGCCCTCGCCGATAAATGGGAACGCCGCACCACCGGTGCCGACGCCTCCTTCGCTCCGCAACCCAGCGACATCGCACACTTCAGCGCCAACCAGACTGTCGTCTTCCTCGAGCGCCTCCAAACCAGCACGACCCCGTTCCGCCCCGCGGACATGGAGCTGATGGGCGCGACGTACCGACTCTCTGAGTCGGCGAACGTCGAGCTCGTGTCGCGGTTCTATAGCCTGGCACTGAAGTCGCGGGCGGAGGCGTTCTACGCGCCGGCGGCGGAGCTGCTGGGGACGGTGGGACGGATGAAGTTCGTGCGGCCGCTGTATCGGGCGCTAAATGGGTGTGATCGGCAATTGGCGATCGCGACGTTCGAGCGGAATCGGGGGTTTTATCATCCGATTTGTCGGGGGATGGTGGAGAAGGATTTGTTTGGGGGTCAGGGGTAGAGTGGGAAGATGCTCGGGGTTGGAGAGGGGGAGAGGTGAAGCGGACGCATTTACGGACGTGTCAATGGGCGGTGGGTAGTTGAGATGCTGTCTGGATGGGCTGAGGTTGGCTTGTCGATCTATCGAGACGGCATAGCTTCTTGGAAGCGTCGGTTGGAGTATTGCTTCTTTGAGGCTCCATGAGAACTTCGCAAGCCACTTGTCAAACCTGACAGGATCATCCTCTCCTACTTGCATGCCAGTTATGGGTTCCATCCCGTCCCTGCAGAACTACGGAGTATGTCAGCCATGTTTCCAGAGTGGCTCGAATTTACAAGGAGGGAACTTCATCGTCGTGGCTTACCCGCATTAAGTTTCTCTCCGCGGTGGTGTCAACGCTATCTCCTGTCGTACATATCCATGGCCCGTCCCATTCGGTTCGCTTCGTGCTGCTATACCTCTATCGTCTAGTAACATTTCCACCTAGATTTCAAATCCGTTTAGGTCCCGTTGGACTACCCGTATATGCGCCCTGCATGCACCATGCAATCCTCTGCAGAACGCAGTTCCTGCGAAAATTTTCCTTGCGGATGACCTGCGACTTGTCTCCGTTTGGGATCCAGTCGTTCTTCGGATAGGTACGCCATTGCTGACGTCGATGTTGTTAATCCATCGAGACTCGATTGCGGTATTCGGTGAATCCGTGTCAGTGACAGCGACGACCGCAAATCGGCGCTGGCCGATGGGGACGGCCTGTCTTTAAGCGCGTTCGAATTTGAAGGGAGTCGGCGACTGCAGCAGTCCCTGAACCGCACGCGACAGCGACGTGCTCTTTTCTACCAAGGTACAACCCGAATGATTTGACAGGATGGCCGTCTCCGCTTACGAGGCTCGTTCAGCGCGGGGTGATCCGCCTCCAAGGGAGTCCCCCACGATACATGCCGTAGTTCCGATTCAGGCAAGGCATCCGAGACACGCTGCACCTCGTGCGTTGGTGGCATTGGCGGTCGCGGCCAATGGGATGCGAGCAGAGATTTGTGATTTTACCGGCATGGGAATTCACTTGATTTGGGGCGATTATGGAGGTGGTGAAATTACAGACGGGAGCGAAGATGGGGAAATAACAGGGACTACCTAGGGCAGAGGCGTAAGGAGTGTGCTCGGTCTCTGTCAGATGCTGCGAAGTCGAGGTGCTGTATACGGTTTGGGTGAGCGTTACTATTGGGTGAGGATGCCTATTGATTGTCTGCCAAAGGGATTCATTGACGGTGTTGGAAGGATATTCGAGGCGAGAATCGAGAAACGCCACGATGGTATGGCACGTTTTATGTATAGGAAATCTTGTCAGGATGGGAAAAGAGTGCAATATCCGAACAGGGAGAGGTGAGCAAAAGGAAGCGGTCGGTCAATCAGTGATCGCGCTGCGAAATAATTAATGTAGCCAATATTATTACGGGGCAATGGGTGCGTTCGGAAGAGAAAAGACATCGGCTTGGGAATTATCGTCGACGAAATGGTTTCGCGAAGCGCGAGAGGATCCTTTCCATTTCAACCTGATACTGCAGGGCTGATGGAGATGAGATCGACGACTAATGAAGCCACTCCCCTAAAGATAGTACCTACAACCCCTTCACGGTCACACCGCTAGCAGTATACTATCTACCGTATGAGGTAGAGTGATCGAGCGATCTTGCAACGCGATCCTCGCATCCCATAATAATTCCACAATCCAACGTTTCCGCGGAGTTAAGTACTACAAGTGGTACCACCCAAATATCCAACGACTTGATAGCGACCTTATCTTCGGGTCTCGGGAACATATGGGAATGATACCAGACGACAAAGGATCGGGACAGCATCCAATATTCCGTACATCTCCTCGGGTCCGACTATTCGAGGCGAAGGGCGTCGTTTGTTGCATAGGAGAAGCGGGAAGTCTGCATTCGATAGTCCGGTCGATAGGGCCAGGTATGACAGGAGATAGCGTCGATTATTCCGATAGAGTCGCAAGATGCAAGTGAAGTAATTGTATTCAAGAACGGGAGAGAATCAAGAGATGTGCATCTATTAGTGCCTTTCTCACATCGCCGGCGCAGGAACGGTAACTACCTACTTACAGTAGCCAAGCCACGATTTCATTAGCATTACTGGAATACGATTCAGCACAGCTAGTTCCAGCGAGGAAAGCGAACCCCGTAATTACCATTTTCTCGTTCATATCGAAATTATATTGCGCCCCCACGCGCGGCTAGTCTCCCCCACGCGAACGGATTTCACCGTATCCTATTCGCATCCTGGTCGGACTCAGTCGTGACTAGTCGGTGGCATTCATTTCTGGGGTTCGAGAATCTGAATATGTAGGAGTTTTGTTTGGACCAAGGTTAGTTGTTGGTTGACTGAATAATGTATTGTTGCTACCGCTACATTGCCCCAGTGGTAAGGCGATGGACTCCGCGCCGTCTTGGAAATACAACTCGAGCCTCGACTAAATAATCGATAGTTCCCCCATTGTTTAATCGACCTGCAGGGCTGCATCGTGTTTATTCTGCTGGATTCTCGAACCAATCAGCAGGTCATTGAATCGACGAAATTCTTTGCAGTGCCTTTTGATTGGTGTTCGCGTTCAGCCCTGAGGACGGGTTTTGGATTCCCAAGTTCTTAGTTCAAGCATCGATCTCATAACTTCACTAACCTATCGGTCCTATTCCAGAGGATTTTGTCTATCCAGAGGATCATTGTCCGAGACAGTTTCCCTCCAGATTCACCTCAAGGCGGTCAACCAAGCCACTCTGAAGTTTGATACCAAACCTCTCAGACCGGTTCGCCGCAGCCTCCACATTCCGCAATCTCGGCGACCAAAAGCCTGAGTATACATAGCAGACTCGTGAAACAATTGCGTTACTCCTCCTCCCATTGACCAATCCCATCCATCCTCTACTCTCCCCGCAGCGATCTGATCAACCGCCAGTACGTAACTACGTAGCTTCTAACCCAGTCATCGCCTCAACGCCGAAGTGCACGATCTCCTAGGTGATCCACCGCAGACGCAAGGGAATGCACGCAATATGGAATTCACATCATAAACTTTCCGTCGCCACCGTGTTCGTTCCCCCCAAGACTCCAATCGAGCGGGCTGGTCGGTGGTTGCAGGACGAGGAAGCTCTCCGACTTGGGGAATTGCAATCTGCGAGACATATCTGAGTTCTTTTGGGGGAGCGTGCTGATATGCGCAGATAACCAAACCTCCTGGTAGGTACATATACGGTAATTACTTGTATCGACCAGAAAGGCGCTTGGAAGTTGGAACGGCTGGTAGGAGCATATTAGCACACGGTGCGAGCAATGCTACCGGGAACATCAACACCAACTGGAGTCATGGATGACCGATACGTATATCCGGAGGAGCACCAAGACCTTTTCTGTAAAATATGTCGCCGACTTCCCTTCTTTTTTTCCTTTTTCCCTTTTTTCCTGTGATACGGACCTGCCATCGAAGGGCTTTTTTTTGGGCGACGATCCCGAATCCGAGGACGTGGCTGTGAACGCCGTTGGTCGGTTGGTTGCAACTTGCTTACTTGCATCCCTATTCCGACCACCCACCAGGAACTCCGCATTTTCCGCATTTTCCGCGGGATGGCAGACCACGCCCCAGGCGGGAATGCCCATTCGCTACCGGGTTTACTCTATTGGAAGGGAGCGAGACGCTAACGTTGGTCATTTCTGCAGTTGATGTGCAGTGCGGAGGTACTTGATACGCCTTTTAATATGAACCTGCTTAGGTGGTTTTTGGTGGCGGTGGACGGGACCTTTCTGGTTTCCACGGTTGCAGTGCTGTGCCGCGACGCCGCTCTCTGCTGGCTGTGTCCCATAACCGAACTGGATCGATTCCTTCGGAATGGGATTTCCTTCCCGGATGCCCTAGACTGAAATCAAAGCCCATAGTGAGTGAGGAGAGTGGTGAGAGCCGCATATCGAAAGCCAAGGGGATTTGAAAGAACGAAAACGGACTAAAGCTGCTTCCCCCCTGGTCCCGTTTCCCTGCAGCTTGGCACGCTAGCTCGGCCGGGAGCCTGGGCATGCAATGTGACATGCAGGCTTGACGGCAGGTGCCCCACCATCCTCGAGGCTAGGAGGGAGTAGGGAGGGGCGTTCCCTCCCCAAATGCCAGGTTTCCCCCGGTCCGACAGTCCCCCCCTCCACGTTTCCCGCAATCCCGTCAGTCGCTGCTGCTGCTCCTGGAGTGGCAATGAGCAAGGGCCCGGTCGCTCAACTCTTGGCTGCGAAGGAAACGGCCTCCATTTGCAGCCTCCATTTGCAGCTGCCCTCAGGAAATCATTCGGAAATTTTCGATCCTCTCCTCAAGACGTATTTCTCCCCCACTCAGGTGACTGGCTATTGGTAGAATTGGCTTGACTGGCTTCACTGAAGTTGAGAAAGAGTAAGGGAGTTTGTGTGTCTGTATGTTCTGTCCAATCCAGTTCAGTTAAAAGTCTCCTGGTATGGTGGTGTCAACGTCTCGCGCAAGTCGCCTTTTCCCTGTCCTTACCTATTGTTCTTAGCACCCCCCAATTAAGATCGTTCCCGCAAATACCCATTTGGTCATTTCTCATCAATTCTCACTTGTCAATGGAATCCGTTCATAAGGACAGAAGCCCACGCCTGGTCCCCGCCATCGTTCTGAACCTCCAAAACCCCCATCCTTCTCCCCACGCCAACTCCCCCCCAACCACCAGATCTCCCTCCGCAGTCCACAGTCCACCCCCAAACTCTCACCTCCAATCCCTCGACGGTGGTACGGACTACCATTCACCACAGTAAACCAGGTCGTGCGCCTGTCCGCGCGTTGCCCCAAGAATTAAGGTAATTCGCTACTGTCCTGTATTCCTTACTCCACGTCCCTCCACGTCTACCCCATACTTGTCCCCGAACCGCTGTGGATGGTCTCTCTCGGCCCGCACGGAACGGGAAGCTTTCTGTTAGTGGTCGTCATTAGACATCGAGCGACCTCCGACAGCCAAAGCCAGCCTGCGCCAAAGGGAGAACGGTTCGACCGCCAGACACCTCGCACACACACCACCGTACGACCATAGGTGTATCTCTCACCACCGGATGTACTCCAGCATACCCGTCTTTTCCAATGCATTTCCGCTCTCTCCAATTCACCGTGACACTATTTCCTCATTCTGCGACCGTTGGGTATTGCGACTTCGATTTCTAATTTAGAAGTCCAGATCGCGTTTCGCATCGGCATGATCGCCGAGGCAGCGGGACGTTGCAAGTCACGATCCACCCGTCTGGAACCTGCATCCGGACGTTTCTCCGTTGAGAGGACCACATCCGACATCCCACGATCCACTCCAACTACTAGTACGCCTCAATAACAACGCCCGAGTCAACCAGACGATCTCTTCCCCGGAGTCTGAGCACGCGTCTTCGCGTTACTAACTCGGCCCGATCCTGGTGAACCTCATCCTCAATCAAGACATTTGGCACACGACACTCCATCGCACCTCCTCAGCACAGCTCCTCTCCGCCCATTGCGCGGACCAGATCATGTCTGCGCAGATCCTCCCTTTCCCCGTCGGTAACCCATTGACCTCGCTCGGGGACAGCAACAACACCACTTCCACCAACCCTCCTCCATCACAATACCCCACCTACCCATACTCATCTCATCCCCCTCCGACTCCTCTCCATCCCTCCCTCCCCCACCACCCGTCTCCCCCGGTGACCGCCGCCAACCCCTCCATGGCCCACGATCCCATGGACGAATCCGGCCTCCCCGTCTCGCCGACCACCTCGCACGACGATACGCGCGGCCGACGTCGCGATCGAGCGGGCAGCGATGACGGGAACGGGGACGGCGACAGCAACGGCACGGGTCCGGGGTCCGCGGAACATCCTGGGTCGAGCAAGAAGCGACGGCGCAGTCGGAAAGGACTGGATAAGAAGTTTGAGTGTCCGCATGAGGGGTGCGGGAAGAGCTATTCGAGGGCAGAGCATCTGTATCGGCATCAGTTGAATCGTAAGTGGCATGCCTGTTTCATGGTCTTTTCAATCTATGCGTTGAAGTCAATATATGGGAATAGCTGGATTCGATGTGAGGGGCTGCGAGCTGGAATATGGTGATATACGTCTCCAGCTTTTGAACAGCGCGAGACTATCGTTCATTGGAGACGTAAGGGGTTCCACCAACTTGAACAAGCGCAGGCGTACCCTCCGGACCATGAAGTCTTCGATCCGTGCTCATTCATATCAAGTACCAGGCACATCAACTTGGATCTGAAGTCGACGTGTCAAAGGGATTCCCACTATTTGCAGAGGCTAACTCAATACTAGACAACCCGAAACAGATATATCACTGCGATTTCCCCGAATGCAACCGATCATTCGTCCGCCAAGACCTATGTGCTCGACATAAGGAACGCCATACCGCTCGAGGCTCTCAACTCCTCCGCAAAGACACGTACATGACGAACACCAATGCGAACCATATCGTGAACAGCGCACTTAGTCAACAAGCGTCTCGAGTTGTCCCGTCCGGGAGCCCACCGTCGGAGCGACCTGGAGATCCTAACTTCCAGAACAACTCGTCCTACCCAGGCGCACAATCTCAGCGGTTAGTCGAACGCCCCTTTATCACACCGTCCCCCGTCCTTGCTGCAACCACTTTCGCTCCTCACTCGGCCTCTCCGCGCGACCACTCCCTGCCGTCGCCCTCATTCGAGGCTGCCACGCTCTCCAGCCGGTCCCGGAGCGACGAGAGTTACCGCATGTTTGACGCTGGTCCTCGCGCCATCCCGGCCCAATCGTTCCCCAGCCCGCAACGGCAAACCTCATTCGGCAGCGGAGGCTACGGCCAATTTGCGGGCTCCCAATTGAATCCGCCCTTAACGCCTACGTCGACCACCAACTTACCTGCTCTTAGTCTCAACTCTCCCTACAATTCCGCTTCCGGACAGTCCCAACCGTTCCGTCCCCCGAGCCAATCCGGCTACCAACCTTCCCCTGGCGCAAACAACTTCCAATCAAACGCTATGTTTCCGCCGATGTCGACTCTCCCTCCTCCGAGCTACCCAACCATGAGCCCGGCTACTACGGATGGAGCTTCCTCCAAAAACATACCCGCTCAAAGCTCGAACGCGATGGAGACCGAATATAATCCAATGAACCAAGTCTCAGAGACATTAATGGAAAACATACCTAACTATGCCATGCCGGTTTTTGGGGGCGATGGATACAGCCGGTCTCCATTCGCCATGGCGGATGACTTCGCTGCTTGGTTATTCAACAACGACTCCACCGTCAATCCTGGGGTTTCGCCGATGGGGTATAGTGGGGGCGTTTCGGGGATGATGGCCCAAACTCCGGTGGGTTTCCAGGCTCCATACTTCAGCTACGATCCGACGGTGAGCGGATGGAACTCGCAACCGGCGCCTCCAACGCATCCGATGGCCGTGAACAGCATCCTCGACACGAACATGGCGCAGTCACTGCTGTCTGAAGAAAGGAGACTGCTTCTCATCGATTATATCGACCAACACTTTGTTCACGGCGGCCGTCTCATGAAGGCAAAGCGGGACGAGATCCTGGAAGGAAACCGAGATGACGACAATCATCTCCTCAGTCTACGGATGATGCAGAAATACATTAGCTCGTTCTGGGACCATATCCATGGCCAGATGCCGATCCTGCACAAGCCAACGTTCTCAGCAAACCAGTGCTCGGAATTGCTGTTGCTTTGTATTATGGCGCTCGGTGCCTCGTGTCTCGATAAGCGGTATGGCATGTCCATGACGACCAACTGCGCCGAGTTAAGCAACTTTTTGGCCTGGCACCTCCGATGGGAGATTTTCATGCACGAGGATTTCAGGCCGCCAGCAAAACTATACGTCTTCCAAGCGCTATTACTCCTCGAAACGTTCGAGAAGATGTTCTCCGACCGCGCCTTGCACGAGCGGGCGCACATCCACCACGCCACGACGCTCACGCTCATGCGTCGCGGCAGTTCGTTGATCGGTCGCCCTGCGTCCGACTCTCCGCCAAGCGTCAAGGATCCGAAGACGGAGGGACGCAAGAGCCACGCGAACGTGTCCGGAACCAACACGCCGGACGACTGGTGGAACAAATGGATCTCAAACGAGGCGACTCGTCGCGTGGCGTTTGCCGCGTTTGTGATGGACTCGATCCACGCGACCATGTTCGGCCATTCGGCGGTCATGGTGGCGCACGAGATGCGGTTGCCGCTCCCCTGCGACGAGACGATGTGGTCCGCCACCAACGGCGCCGACGTCGCGCGGATGGACCAAGACCTGACCCGTAAAGGCATCAAATCCATCACGTTCCTGGAGGGGTTGAAAAAGACACTCAACGGGCAGGCGGTCCGTACCAACTCTTTCGGCCGCACCATCCTCATGGCCGGCCTCCTTAGTGTCAGTTGGCACATGAACCAACGCGACCTCCAAGTGTCCTCCCTCGGCGGCGCGCACGCGCTCGGCGGCCGCGACAAGTGGCGCGGCGCCCTCACCCGGGCCTTCGACTACTGGAAGCAAGACTTCGACACGGCGCTCGCGAAAACCAGCGAGCTCGCCCCCACCACCTCCACCTCCGCCTTCTTCAACAATAACCCCCCCGCGCCGTCCGCCCCCTCCCCCTCCCCCTCCACCTCCTCCGAACACGGCGACTATGTCTTCGAGTCGCGCATCGTGCTGCACCACCTCGCCCACATGGCGACGCACGTGGACATCGTCGACTGCCAGATCTTCGCCGGTGCGACCCGCCTCCTCGGCCGCTCCATCACCCCGCAGGACTACGCTGGCGCACAGCGCCGCATGAAAGAAGGCTGGGCGCCGTCCGCCCGAGCGCGCGACGCGACGTTCTACGCGCTGCGGTTCCTCACGCAGGTACTGGTCCCCGAGGAGGTGTCGTCCGGCGGGTTCGGAGGCGCACCGGAGTTCACGTACTCGGCACGCGATGACGTGTTGCTCAACCGGCCGTGGGTGCTGTACTTCGCGATGCTGATCGTGTGGTCGTACGGGTTCGCGCTGGACGGGGCGATCCGGCCGCTGTACGGTCTGGGATCGCACGGGGAGCAGGTGCGCGACATGCAGGGGTTCCTGCGGCGAGTGGGCGGGGTACGGGCGCCGGATGACCTGGCGACGGTGGCAAATCGGAACGCGTGCTTGGGGATGTTGATTTTGTTGCGGGATATGTTTCGGCAGGCGAGGTGGACGTTGTTGTGGGAGGCGAGTAATTTGTTGGGGAATTGCGTGGAGAAGTTGACGGGAGAGAGGGCGTAGGAGGGTGCATATAGTTGGCTATTTCTCTTGGGGGTGTCGTCGTGAGCGAGCGATGACGGATGGACGGTGGGGCTTGGGACGTGTTCCCAATATACATGTTGATGACCTTTCCTTCTTCCTTCTCTTCTTCCTCGTGGAGTTCATGCTCCGTTTCTTTGTTTTCCACTCAGCCAGTCAGTCCGACCAGTGGGCTCCTCTCCCGGTCGGCAGATTTTCACGACGCGTTCATGCACATTACATTACATTACACCTCAGCTCGGGTGGTTGATGGGTGTTCTTTAAGCTTCTTTGCCTTGGGGAGAGGTCGCTTTTGGGGAGGCATTTGTTGTTGGTGGATGTTTGCCATAGTTCTGGTTGGTTGGTTGCGTGGGCGGTGAATTGTTGCAGCGTACGAGCAAGCGAAGTCGGTGGATCACAGTCTTTTCAGTATACCCATTGATTTCGCTTTTGCCTGGTGGGGCGATATACGTTTTTCGTTTTTGGCTTTCTCGCGTCGGGTGGGTGGGTGGACAGGCAGCGAGCGTCTGGGGCGGAGTGGCGAGCGTTTTGTTCCTCAGATATCCGTGCTCTGGCATTTTGAGGGGTCACGGAAAGGAAGCAAGCAAGCGGTGATTTTATCACGGCTCTCAGCGAATGAGCGGGGGAGATGGCGTTATGGGTTCCATTGGTGGATGCGTATAGGTACAGATATATGGTTTACAAATATTTGAAGGATTTCGCAGCTCAGGTCGTTTCATGAGGTTTCCATCCGTGAATAGCTAACTGACTGACTGACTGACTAAAATTCCCAGGCGCCCTGTCCCGGTCTTCGAATGCTCCAAGCATATCCAAGTCCGAACTCCATCATCCAATCATCCTAGCCATCATGACATCCCTCATCAAATCATCACCCCCTACTTCCCCCCCTTCTTCCCCTCTTCCTCCCTAAACCCCCACCCCTCCTCCAACCCCAACGGATTCTTCCCAGTCCGCTCCCGTCCCGCGACGCTCTCCTTCCCATGCTTATAACTATCCCGATTCTCCCCCCCCAGCACCTCCATCTTCTCCTCTTTCTCTCCCGTCAGCGGGCCCAGGACGGGTCGCGTGATACCGCCGACGGCTTTGGTGAGCGGAGTGGTGAGGGTGGAGACGGCGGAGCCGAGGGGTTGGAGGGTGGTGGAGAGGGCAGCGCCGGCGGGGTCAGCGAGGTGGTGGATGGAGGCGCGGTAGGGTTGTTGGTCGGAGGAGGGGTCTTGAGGGTTGGTGGAGGAGGGGTTGTCTTTGGGGACGGGGATGTGTTCGTGTTCAGGCATGGTTGGATTGGGTTGCGGGAATTGGTTCGGGGATGGTTCGGTGGTTTTTCGTACGATTTAGGGGTTGATCTCGAAGGGTAAGGGCTGATTTCGAAGGTTTGGTTTGGTTTGGTTACTGTGAAATGACCGATCCAAGATCTGGGAGTCGCGAGATATTTCAATGAGATGCATCGGGGGCGAATGCAGGGATGGGAGGCTTGACGTCATGGGGGAGGCAGAAACAGGGGTGCACGACAACGTCGGTTCAAGATGCGATGGGAGTTGAGATGTGTACCAACCATGTAACACACGGAGATCATTATTGTTCAAATTCTAGGGCATCATTGCGTGGTCCTTGCCTTCTTGGTGATGAGATCTGAGAATGTGGCTCTTTGTGACTGTTAGGGACGTCGAAATCTGCACCTGGGGAGGTCGACGCTCCAGTTCAGTCGCCGCTGAACAGTGGCCGATGATGTCGCATACTGTGCTCCGATGCCTCGAAAACATTTTCAGTTCTAATACTAGTTGATATTGCTTTCACTGAAAAGTGGCTTCCTGTTATACGGAAATGATAGGACAAGTCAAGGGCTGGAGGTAGCATATCCTCCGGCGCATCCGAACCGTCAGATCTATCAGGACATCTGCATGCTTGGAGATGTTATCACAGAAGAGCTTGGATAATCCAGTATGCCGAAGAACATGGCATCACGCTAGAGAAGAGTTGTGTTCCATTGTGGCTAAGTATACAAATTTTCCTATCCATTACGAAACCGGGAACCTTTTTGGAGAGAGATGTAGCATAATTATACTAGCGAGCCCACATCCCCTGTCATTTCCGTTCTAGTTTGTTTCGTGTCTTTCCGTTCGATTTAAGGCAGAGCACACACGTACGGTCCAACCCACCAATGGATCACCACCTTTGGAATATCACGACACATAGGTATTCGTCTTGATAACTACAACCAGACCAGTGAAATTTTGTTTATTTACTCTTAAAATCTAGAAAGTAGCAGCAATATCATGTATCGTGCGGTGGCCGTTATCAAGTAATGTAAATCCATCCAGAACAGAGCATGCCAAAATAATCAGTCATCATATGAGCAAATGGATTCCTATGGTTATCGATAGCATGACAACCACGTAGGTACTTGCAGAATTCACAGGACCAATAGAATAGAGGAATCTGAGAGTGTGCTTCTACAATTCAAGGACATTTGAACGATAGCGAATTGCTAAAGAGAAAATAATAGTCTCTCCTCGAACTACGCTCATTGCGTGTGGTTGTGGAAGTGCTCATGCATTATCGATATCAGACACCACTCATAGTGAGCCTGTTCATTAAATTCAGTTCCTCGTGTTCAGCCTCCAGGATCGACGGACTGAGTAATAACTCAAGAGTGTGACAAGGAATAACAATTGTAAGAGCGCAGTAAAGAAAGTTTGCTATGAGGGGTAGGGAGTGGGAGGAATTTAACCATCAGCAGCGGGGAGAGTTGTTTTTCCGGTGGCCGTGATGATGAAGGGTGTGTTTCAGAAATTATATATGTTTCGGATCCATTGCTGTGATGGTTTTAGTCTATTCAGTAATGAGGATATTAGTAGAGGATGGCTACAGGATAGAGTCTCCAGGGTGACTGACTCAAGGAGATAAGCAGGTTGCTAGGACAGATGTAGATGGTTGCATATACCATGGACTGCGGTTGAAACAATTCTGAATCCACCCAGTGAACCAAGGCAAGGAGTATACAATTATTAGCGGTGGTATTTCTATTAAAAGGTACTGCTTGGCTCAGTTGGCACCCCCCACTTGACAACCTGCCAGATGGTGAACATTTTAAACCACCTGTTACCTCAGCTGTGTAAGGGGCTGGGTGTGTAGAGACTCAGGTTCGATCCCTGGAGGTGTTCATTCTTATTCTCATTTTTCATTTCTCTCAATTGATACTAGCTCCATTCAAATGGGACCCAGGTTCTTCAGGAAATTTTAGAGCAAGAGATAGGTGGGATATATTAATTTCAAGCAAACTTGGACAAGTCCAAACAAAGACTAGGTGACTGATAGAGAAGGAAACCCAGTCAACGCAACAGGCAAGAAAAATGCCATTAAGTATGCACTACACCTTCACTGCTTACTTGACTTCCTGCTTATCTAACATCCTTTGTGTTTTTCTATCCACCCAACTTTCTGGGCCATTCAGATGTCATGTGATGGGACCAGCACTGCTCATACAACACAAACAGTCCTAGAAGTGGATGGGCATTTTGGACTGACTTAGACACTATTTCTTTAAGTATTATACAAAGATTCTGAAGAACACACCCCAGGGACATATTTGAGATAGAGCTTGTAATTTTGGGCCTTGGAATTCTGATCCCAAAAGGACAGCGAAACAGGAAGGGTGAACAACTGAAGAGAGCCCTGGATGTGGTGATGAAGAATGAGTGAAGTCGAATGAGCTCCACTTTTCCGGATCAGGCAGTTTGTTTTCTTCCTCGACCAATCGCCATGACGTCGAAGTTTGCAGCAACTCTCAATTCCTGTCCAAACCAAACTTCCTTGCCGCACCACAAATACCTGGCATCTATTTCCTCTCTGAAGATCCAACACGCATATTCTGAGCTAGAATTTTTGTCGCAATCGTCATTATGCCTACCGAACCGCTTCAAGAGCGCAACGCAAACGTGCCTTCGCCAACGAAGACGCATGTGGAAGAGAAGGGCCAACCTGTTGTGCAACAGAATGCGGCGAAAGCACAGTTCGCCAATAATAACCGGTACGAGCCACCTAATTATCATGGGGTCATAGATTCTAACTAGCATCAGGTTTTCCAAGTCATACATCTCACCCTCTGACGCCGTCTTGTCCCCCGCAACGAAGAAGTTGGCCGCCTTCAAGAACAAGCATATGACCAAAGGGTGTGTGCTTGCACAGCAGACCACAAGCTTTGAAACAGAGGTTAACCTTCGTTAGAATCAAACCACAATCCCTCTTCGGTCGATCTCCACCTGCTGAGCATACTGCGGAGGACCGGACTGCTGACACTCGGGCTGCTGCATCAAGCAGCATCGGATTCGCATCTATTGGACAGGCTCTGAATGAACCCCCAAAGTAACGAGCTTCGGATGGGCCCTTGGTATTTACAATAGAGAGCTGGTTATTGGGGCTCTTGGGGCGTTTTTGGAGTGCTGGACCATCTGAATGTTTGGAGTAGCGGACGACCTGACCTGGCGGTTGCATCGCGGTTGAGATCCGGAGGGGCTACTACTTGGTCGCTTCATACAGGAGCACAGCAGGCTGGGACGTTTATCCATTATTATTGGCAATGCATGTCTATTTGCCGAATTCTCAAAATTTCTCATGCAGATCCTTGTGTGTTTATCTTTCATGTCGCTCCGAGTTGCTCAAACAACGCCAGCAAACCCCTGCTGCTGGACCGTCGACGAATGAGGAGCGCCCAGCCGGATCCTTGTCTTCATCCAAGACTTCCATGATAGTATCAATCTCACCTCTGATACAAATAATATAATGAAATTGAACATCAATGCCTGAACTGGGCGAGGAAGAAAGGCGATCGCTTAAAGAGGAAATCTCCAGTCTTGAAATCCGACTAAAAGATGCCAAATCCCAGCTTTCGTTGCGGGATGATCGTATCGAGTCTACGCACACCTTTGATCTAGGCATCTCGCGAGCAATATCAAGCCTACCTCCAGATATCGGATTCGAGACTCTCCATATGTTATTGATCCTCTCCGACTCTGCTCTACCTCTCGGATCCTTTGCCTTCAGCAGCGGCTTAGAATCCTATCTCGCACACCAACGCTTATCAAACCGCGCTACCTTCGCATCAAACGCATCAAACGCATCAAACTCATCAGCCTTTCTACACTTCCTCCACTTATCATTGGGATCTATTGCGAGTACAACACTACCCTTCGTTCTCACCGGCCATAAACATCCCGACCAACTCCTATGTCTGGACAATGACCTCGACGCATCCACGCCATGCACCGTGGCGCGTCGCGCAAGCGTTACCCAAGGCCGAGCGCTCCTAACCCTATGGGAGCGAAGTTTCCGCCGCCAACATGTTCATTCCTCCCCCTCGAAACGGGACGCCGGCATCGACGCCCTCGAATCCTTCCAGGTCTCGCTCCGAGAAGCCGGCAGAACCGACGGACGAGCACCCCAGCCCGCCTCCGCATCCGCGGGGCCGAAAGAGCCAGCGTTCGTCACGATGGGCCCATCGGCGCACATGGCGCCGCTATTCGGCGTGCTGACGCGGGTTCTCGGCCTGCCGCTCCGCACGGCGGCGTATCTATACCTGTTCAGCCACGCGCGGACGGTGACGAGTGCGGGGGTGCGGGCGGGGGCACTGGGGCCGTATCAGGCGCAGGAGATCTTGGTCGGGGGGGCGGTGAGCGAGCGGATTGGGCGGTTGATCGACGAGGGGTGGGATCGGAGGGTCGAGGATGCGGGGCAGAGTGTGCCGGCAGTGGATCTTTGGGTGGGGAGGCATGAGTTGTTATATAGTCGGATATTCAATTCGTGAGGAACGGGGTGTTCCTCGGGTGGAACTATGATGTCTACCTACACCGCTGGGATATCCGACTCCGGAACGGGACCGTTTTCTCCACGCTAAAAGCGGATATGAACCGTAACCTAACACGACCAAACGCCTGCAAATGCTGTCCGGGATTGACCCTATCTACCGCCAGCAAATCCATCCCGCCCCCATCCTTTCGCCCGCATGCTCTCTTCAATCGCCGTCCAGATCCCCTCGACCACCTCGCGATCCCGCCATCGACCCTTCTCCCCTTGGTGCGGACTCCATTTGTCAACGCTGGCAGCCTTGACTCCTCGACCCCAGCCCTTCACCGTCTCGGGCAGCTTCTCGCCGTTCCAGCCCACGTAGATCCCCAGCGCGTGCGCGAACAGTTCGGAGGGATTGCTCCATTTGTAGTGCTTGAATTGCCAGGTCTGCCCGGTCGTGAACACTGCTACCAGCCGGTTCCAGTACTCGGGTTTGAACTGGTCGACGCTCTCCACCAGCACGAAGCGGATGGGTCGGTTGGGATCGATGGATGGGAGGGTTCGTTGGATGTGGAGGATCGTGGCGAGGGATGAGCTGGCGGCGGCGGGGCTGTCGGCTGGGACGAAGAGGCCGGATTCGAGGAATTGTTTGATGTTGGTCATGCGGAGAAGGGAGGATGCGGATGGGGAGAGAAGGATGATCGGTTCCAGGCGCCGCTGGCCGGGTTTCTTAAGGTTGGAGACGAGCGCCGGGTTTGTGGTGAGCGGGCCAGCTGAATGGTGACCCGGTCGGTGTCTGCTGCGTCCAAGGAATATCTCGGCGTGTTTTCGAACATGCGAGAAGTCCTAAGTTGAAGCATTAGCAAGCAAATCAGGAGGTTCCATCAACAAAAGAACTACCGTTGGTTTGATGCCTCTCAGAACGCTGTTTCTATCCCCCATCTTTCGCTCACCACTATATATCTCTGCTAGCCGCGGGTCGATCTCTTTAGCAGCTTTCGGAGCCCCAGGAGCCGCTCCGACAGTTGGAATCCCTCCCGCGACACCCGCCGCGACCTGAGCGGACGTCTCCGCCCGCGCGACGGCCGGGTCGAGCGGCTTGATATATTCGCTTTCATCCGACGTCCCCTCAAGCCACGACGCCAGATCCAACCGCTCCACGAAGACCAGATTCTGGATCTTCCCCCCCGCTGCGCCGGGCGCTACGAGCTCCTCGTTGACCCGCTGGGTCGCGGTGATGTAGTCCGGAATGGAGACATCTTTCTTCTGCCAGGCGAAGTAGATGCTCCTTAGGTCGACGGGGCCGCTACTTGATACGAATCGCGTTTGGGTGCTGAGCGGAAGGGAGAACTTCTCGGGTCCGTGGGTAAAGAGGAGATGCGATGCGAGGGCAATGTTCGTTTCATCGGGCGCTGAGGAGGGATCGGAGGAGGTCGAGAGGATGGGAGGTTGGTTGGCTGCGGTAGCCTGGCGCAGGCTGAGAAGAGGGTCGTGCTGTGTCGCCATAGTTGAGGCTGGAGTGAGATCTATTTCGGCATTTGATCTTCGGGGATTGCGGGCATCAATGTGTAGAGCAGTTGGCGTTCAAGTGGACTGTGAAACTTCCTTGGAACGGACAGGAACCTTGACGGAATTCCGCGTTGGATCGCGACAACCGGAGTTTTACCGGCTGGGCATCTCACACGCATCCAGATGGCTGAACGGAGTAAACAATTCACATTGCAATCCACATTGATGGTCAGATTTGTTGTCCCTTTTGTAGGATGATAAAATAGGCTACACGAAACCAGATTTGAACGTGTTAAATCAATACTCGATATTGTGCTGACAGCTTCACTATCTTGCTCCCTTCGTCACCGGATCTACAATGGCTCGTTCACTAACCTCAAGACCGATTGATATCCTCTATCTAGCGTTCTTTATTATCCATATTCCAATTGTTATTTGTAAGCCTGGATGTTTTCAGCTATTGATTTGATCGACAACTTACAAGATTTGTAGTCATCGATTCCTTTCCGTTATGGCCTCCGGCACTTCGAATGGAATGGATGAAGGCATTGCGGCTGTATTACATCCAGACCTACAAAGATTTCTTCTTCATTGATCCCCCGTAAGTGTCCTTCCAAACTTTCCTGCAAGCCACGAATCTTATGGACATACAGGGCGTGGTTTGGGACGTATATGTGGATGGAACTCATCTATCATCTCCCGCTCAGTCTATGGGCTGTTCCAGCTATCATTAGGGGTGAGTTCTTCCCTGGAATGGTGTTGTAGATCTACGCTTGCAGGCATGATCGAGAAGCCCTCCGGTTTCTGTCACTTTTATTCAGACTAACCTCATTCGCCGCGCAGATGACCCGAAGATCCCTCTGCACCTGTTGATATACGGGTGTCAGACCGCGGTGACTACTTTGACATGCATTTCCGAGTATCTGAGCTGGCCAGGATATACGAGCCAGGAAAAACTTAACTTAGGGTACCTTTATGTCCCGTATCTCGTACTCTGTGAGTGTCCCTGAGCCGAACCAAAAATCACTATTTCGGTCCCACTGACTCGAGATAGCCGTGTTTATGACCGTGGATATGTTTAGGAGGTTGGATCGAACTCTGGGACTCATCTCGATGCGCTTCGGCAATGCCGGCAAGAAGAAACAGTAGATCGTCCACACGTATGGGAAGCAATTGTTGCCTTGTTGACACTGTAGGGAAGCGGCGCTTTCGAGAAATTTACAATGGCATTTCGAGATCAACAACACATATATTCTTTGCTGGCAGAAGAGAAGTCTAAAGCCTATGCCACAGTGGCAGATTCAGGATTGTGGCTCGGGTGCTCGGCCTGATGTTAGATCCGTTAAGTTTCAAAACGCGAATAACGATCAAGAAACAGCGGAAGCCGCATGCATTGTGACTTTAAGCGTGAGGATATGTATACGAAATCACCAACGACCGTAACTGGATTTCCGAAACCCGAGTCGGTTCTCATCTCTCTGCCTCTCACCGGCTGGTCAGCTCGAGCTGGGTTTGTTCCTGGAGATTCAGCCAAACGACTACCATCATCAGTCTACACCGCCTCTCCACCTGAGAATACCTCTGACTCCAATTCACTCGGCTCAGCACTCGTCTCCGATGATGTTTTCACTCACATCGAGCAGTCTCCTTCACAACAGTACCTGCCCGGCTATCGCTCTTCTCGAATCTAGCCCAAGCTCCGCAGCGTTCTTCACCACTAGCAGCAGCAGCAGCAGCAGCAGCAGCAGCAGCAGCAGAGGACCGACGTCCACATTTAGCCCAGCATCTTCGTCCAGATAAGCTCCTCCTTTGACGCTGTCTTCTCAATATCTCCGCATGGTCCCACCCCTACGATGTCGCCTATAAGGTCACAGCTAGGCTACTGAACACACTGACTAGATTGCTCAATCAACCTCTGCGGTTGATCGCGTGGCGGGCCGGAGACAACAACCATAAAGTTTTGGGGCGATATATTTATCGAATCGGCGCAGTAAGAAGCTTCTTGGTATCATGGAAGGAAGGGATTCAGTGGTCAATCTTCGAGGACAGGGCATAAGGCGGTTTCGAACATTCCAAAGCAGGGCCTTTGGGTTATTTTGCCATTAAAATAATTTCATTATTGTCTCCGATGCACAGAAGTTATGTTGTACAGATAGATTAACTTAGAGGCGGCCATTGTCGCCTACCTAGCTAGATATAACTGTGCAATGACCTTCAATCAAAGTGGTGATAATAGTGCTCCTCCTTTCCAACGCCATTTCGTCCTCGAAACAGTGACCAAACCAATAATTCATCCTAATCTTAGGGCAATCATTTCGACAGTAACTTATCCACCCCTTCCATCTCCCACTGCGTAGGAAACCCATCCTCTGGCATCTGATACCACTCCGACTTCTCCTTCATGAAGATATGCTGCGATTCCAGCCCAAACTTCGCCATATCACACTTGTCGTCAACCGTCCCGGCCGTAATCCCAATTACCTCTGGTGCGTTAACATACACCATCGAAATCGGCGAGCCGCACGCTCCACAGCAAGTGCGAGTAGCATAAGGAGAGACCTTGATCGTTCGCAACGAAGGCAGCTCAGCGTGCTTCGCTTTCCAGTCCGTAAACCTCGGCCAATCGGAGCTCGTCTCCGTCGTGATTAGAACCGAGTCAACGGGGAAGTCGACAAACGCCATGAACGCCGAGCCGGAGAGCTTGCGGCAGGTGTGGCAGTGGCAGTAGGTCTGCTTGGTGGGGATCGCGGAGGCGATGTAGCGGATGAGACCGCAGCGACAGCCTCCTGTTACGGTGGGAGGGTTGGATGGCAATTTATCATCCCTTTTTTCGCTTTCCATGGTGGATTATATGATGGAGGGTTTAAGTGGCCGTCATCCTCCGTGGACGAGGGAGACTTGTTGTTGTCTTGGTGTTGCGTGGCAGGGGTGATGTCATGGCCACTCGATTCCAAGATTCAGGACCTACACACGATTTACAATGTTCACGACTGTTGAAGTATGAAAGCTGAGCGGAATCGGCTTGATTTTCTTTTCGTGCATGACGGCGAAGGAAGTTCCACACGCAAAGGCGCGCCTACGCGTCGCCCATTTCTGGGTGGGATCACCGAATAATAATATTGTATAGGTAAACTCGTTCTTTCGCAACTGCCACGAATGGCCGTGCCTAATAGGCACGCCATAGTTGTCCTTCTTCCTCCACGAGCCTCCCCCATACCAGACCTTCACCAACATAACTGCACAGTCCTCAATCCACGAAAGTCATGTATTTCAGCGTGACCGGCGACGAGCGCCATTTACGCTGCCTCCCTTTCTTTGCCGGCGTCTTGAGGAAAATCCTCTCCAGCTGTAGAATATCAGTGTCTGGGTCTTGTCATCTAGTAGTAGAAATGCCACTTACCCTCCTTATCACCCGACTCAAATTCCCGAATATCGGCCGCCGAGATGGCCATGAACGCAGCCCTTTGTTGAGTGTACAGCTCGTTACACTGATCGATGTTCCTCCTCGAAAGGAGAAACCATCGGTAGTGATTGTGGACATAGCGCTATAGCCCTGGGAATGACAAACACTGCCGGGATTTGAACGGGGAGTTGGCGTGGCAGCCTGGGCAGATCAGCGCGAACTACTGTGTCTCTCCCCGTTTTCGAATGATCCCCTGGCAAGTACTATGCTTCTCGTAACCAGGACACACCCCATGCAAAGCAGGAGTTCCCGGGCGGCCTGTACGGGTTGGTGGCGTGGTTCCAGTGGGAATTGGAGCTGGAATCGCAGCTGGTGTTCCCACTGCAGTCATCGGGGTCGTCGTCGCCATGTGGTGATTGCTGGGGGACACTGCAGCTAGAGGTGAGATAAGCCATGGGTAGAGTTCTTAACGATGCCTAGAGAAAGAACCCAGAAGGTCCAGTGGAATCATCATCCATCATGATGTGACCCTGGTTCGTGCCGAAAAGATCGTCTCCGTGCGGGCGAACCGGGCGTACCGGATTCGGCGGCTCCGTGAAGTGGAGGTCTTCGCCGGGAACGAATTCATGCCCATGCGGATAGGTAGCGATCTCGTCGCCACTATGGGGCGGCCGGTACCCCTGGATTGGTATGTAGCCGCTGGCATTATGGGTCGGCCTGAAATCCCAAGAGTAGCCTTCCGTCGGGTCGTGATTCTGGAATTGATCCAAGCACGTCGTGCTCACAGGACAGTACGTTTCCTAACACGAGCACGTCGAGCCCGCCGAGACTCGGCAATGGTAATTGATCACTGTAGGCACTGTATGGCCTGGTGGGTCCAGAAGGGCTTAGGGGGGTAAAAACGCAGTACTAGGAAGCCTTATCATGAATGACTCCTAGCCTTTCTTGCGAGATACTACTAACTCCTGGCAAGGGGGCACATAAAGGAAGAAGGGAGCCAGGCTCGAAGGAAGCTGAAGAGCATCTAGAAGAACGTAAGTTTCGTGAAGCTCTTGGAGTATTGAAAAGGAACACTTTAGGGAATCATGCTGGGGACGTTGATCTGGCCCCTAAGATTTGGGTCCGACAAACGGTCAATTCAAAGAATCCTCGAGGGTCTATACGGTGGACATGTGTCGGTAGTCTCTGAAAGTGTGCAAAGTAAATATATGTTTCGGGATGTCCCAAAAGGCCGGAGATCGAACCCAAAATACGGAGGTTTAGTAACGCTCCTGGAGTATTACAATTGGAATACAGTGGAGAATCATGCTCGAGGATGTTGATCAGGCTCCAAGTTGATAAGGCTCAAGCAAACGGAGAGTGGAAACACCTACGAGGGCTTGCAGAATGCACAGGTCAGTGATCTCCGAGGGACCGGAAGGTGAATACAATATGTGCCAGTGTGTCCCACGGCGACAAGGGGCAGAGAGCGAGCCAGCCCTCACACAACCGTTGAGTATCGCACTTTCATATACATCTGTTTGCATGTTAGCACAACTGATATCAAACTCCTCATCTGTTAGTGACCCTTACTTATCTCTTCAAGCATATATATCAGCCAGACGAAGACCTCCGCGAGGACTCGACGCCTCACACTGCGCAGGTCTTAGCTGGACAAGCAACCCAATATACACCCACACATAGTTAGTATCATAGAAGCAACGTCAAACTTTCCGTGACCTGCTAACCCCAATCAATATAATCGTGTTAATCCGAACTCGAATATCGTATATGGTACATCGCTGAGCGGAAAAGGCCCAGCCTGCTGCGTCGACGACGGCATCCTATAATCGTACAATGGCTGTAGGGGGGTATATAAGGCATCGTGGAACACCGGAAAGACTTTTGATCCTCTTCAACACCTATCGACAACATCTTGGTGGGAGCCAAGGGGGACTATACCGACTCTCGATCCTCTTCAATCCCCGTCGACAAACATCTTGATGGGAAGCAAGCAGCATTATAACGACCTTTGGTCCTCTTGAATCTCCATCCACAAACATCGTGATGGGAGGCAAGCGGCATTATTATGACTCTTGATCCTCTTCAACCCCGATCGGCAGGCATCTTGATTTTGATGAGAGTCAAGTGGCATTGTGACAGAAGTTGGACCAGTCAAATATTATCCCACTGCTCTCTTCACCGCCGCGGCAAGCTCCTTTCGATCCACAGACTTCCCCGCAAGAGAACCCCCTTCTCCAATCAGGGCTTTCATGACCTGCCCCAAGACGACCTTTCCTTGCTCTTTCATTTGTTCGACGACCTCTTGGATAGCCTTTTCCATCTCTTCTGCTCCGACGGCTTCCACCTCTCCGGCATATTCGTCGAGAATCCGCGTCTGGGCTTCTTCCTTCTCGACCAGGTCCATCCGCCCCGCTGTGGCGAACTGTGAGGCAGCCTCTCTGGATGCGGAGGTTCTTTTACGAATAAGAGCGAATAGTTGAATGTCACTGGTGACTGGGCTAGATGTCTTGGAAGCGTTGATAACATCGGCAAGAATGGCTCGAAGGACGTTCAAACGAGTAGTGTCCTTCGCTCGAAGCGCGACTTTTAGATCATTCCTGATCTTGACAAGTAAGGGAGAGGCAGGTTGCTCCGCGGAAGCGGATGTCGATTGGAATCTCCAGATGGTTCTGGAAGGGGCTCGTCGGGTATGTGGTAAAGACAGTCGTATTGGAGCCGACATCGGTTTGCATAGAATCTTAAAGAAGGGCATGTTGGGCTAAAACTTTATGGGGATGGTGTTGGAAGCAAGTCAAAGGACGTCAAATTAAGCTCATCTGTGGAGCCAATGCTGAGGATCTCAACGTGTTAACCGTTTAACAGAACCTCTAAATGAAGCCTAAATGAAGCGCATATGCCCCTATGATTTCGCTTTATACTTGACGAGATGAGACCCGACGTTGAAAATGGATCACATAAGCAAGGCCATAAGGCAAATTTGATAATATCTTAAGGCAACAATTTGATTGAAGTGGCTGGGCCCAGCTGGGTCAGTGAAGTGGCTCAGTCATTGCGTTCTAGTCTCTGATTGGCCCTAATCGCATGACCAGGGTCTGAGCTTTCGCATCAACTTTCGAAGTGCTTGACTTCTTTCGCGACTTCGATCGCGTGCAGTTCTGTCAAGTTCCCGTCTATTCCTTTGCCTGGGTTTCACTCCTACATTTGGACCTCACTATTCACTCTCTCTCATTCTGGGAGCTTGCATTGCATTGATTGGTTCTACTGCCACAAGGGCCATTGCATTCTACACCCATCTCTCCTAATGTCATTGTTCACCTTCGGCCTTTGTTAACAACACATCTCATAGAGCTTCTGGGTGGCTTGGTACATATCCGGAACACGAGATTCTCTTCAGGAATAACAAGGCCCTTTCAATATGGCTACTGCTGCCACTCCTGCACGACCCTTACCGGGTGGATTTGCCGTGACTCCTGCTGGCGCAACTCCTGCTCCAGGCGGACCCGTGAGACCACCAGCCTTCCGAATCCCGTCCAACCCCAGAGTACCAGCCGGTCCGGACAGAGGATTCCAACCCTTAAATGAACCCAATGGAGACATGTCGGGCCCAGCTCCTCCGGTGTCCCTGACTGCGACATCCCTCAACCCGATCGATGTCGCCGCAAAAACCATCAACGGCGCCCTAGCAGGGGAAGCGCGTTATCCAGACCTGGAGAGCTTGGTTGCCAGTATGTTGATTGCCAATGTCTGATATATCATGTACTAACATATTCCTAGATGGCATCTCCTCCGATTATGACCTAGCAACGTCCGCCGTGTCCTTTCCATTTCAAAAAATCCGATCACACGAGATCCCGGACCGAATATTTCACCAGTACGATAACAGCTCCCTCGCGGTGTCGATGGGACTTTTTGCCGAGATAAACCATGCGTGGATGACAATCGATAATGCTCTATATATCTGGGACTATACCATGCCGAATCCCGAGCTCATCGGGTTCGAAGAGCAGCCACACGCGATCACCGCCGTCAAACTGGTCAAGCCGCGAACCGGAGTATTTGTCGAGGCCATAACCCATCTCTTGGTGGTGGCAACGGTGAATGAGATCTTCCTCGTTGGCGTTGCAGCCAGTAGCAACAACGGCGTGACGACGGTGTCACTCTATCAGACTAAGATGCGCGCTCCCGTATCTGGCCTCGATGTTCGGTGCATTGCCGGAGCAAGTCATAGCGGGCGCATTTTCTTCGCAGGATATTGTGCGCGCGATATCTACGAACTCACCTACCAGCAGGAGGAAAAGTGGTTCAGTGCAAAATGCTCGAAGCATAACCGGACTTTCAGGTATCTGCCAACAAATTCATCATGGTTCGACGAAGCCGCATACGAGGATGTGGCACAGTTGGTCATTGATGACTCTCGGGACCTCCTGTACGCGCTCTCTTCCGTCGGCACGATCCGCGTATACCACCTCCGACCGAATGCGTGTCGGCGCGTCATTACTCTGACGTGCCACTCGATACAAACGCACATGAGCCACATGTTCTCCTCCCGGGCCACGATGCCAGCTGGTCCCATCGAAATCGTGTCCCTTACACCCATCACCAGGTTCGAGGCGAGGATTATGAACCTTGTCGCGATAACATCAACAGGCACTCGGATTTTCTTCACTGCTACAACGTCAGGATATGAACGGCCGGAGAACAAAGATGCACCGACCAGTATGCAAGTTTTCCACGTCAAATTCGCTCCGTCCACAGACCCCCAGCCGAACACCTCTGCAGCTGTTGGGCGTACCGTGAACACAACGTCGGATTACCTAGTCAAAACCCGCCTTGGCGCACGATATGGACCTGGATACTTCTTCTGCTTCGTCAGAAAAGGCAACGATGAGTTTGACCACATGTTTGCGTGTGCTCCAGATTCCGGCCGCGTCGCGAAAGGGGCAGAAAGCGCTCTTGATCTACATCTTGTCGAACAAGGACATACGTACACTCTACCGGGCGTGACTGCGGATGTTGGTCTCGTGACGAAGCCGTTCGGAGCCACCTCGACACCTCTCGGCTTTGGGAATGAGCTTGCTGAGCAATACGACACTCCAACGGCGGAAGTGGCGGTGCTGACATCGAGTGGCATACACACATATCGGAGACGACGCCTCGTCGACATGTTCGCTGCACTGCTGCGGTCCGGCATCGAGCAGGAGGATACACAGGCATCGGTGGCCAAATTCGTCCGTCAATATGGCCGAAATGAAATGGCTGCCACCGCCCTTGCCGTGGTTTGCGGTCAAGCCGTGGATGTCAATACCGAGGCGAGGGTGGCCAATGTCACCGATCCAGATATCATTGGTGCGGCTCGTACAGCGTACATCGAGCAAAGTGGGAAAGCCTTCATGAATACCAACAGCGACTCCATTCAATTCTCGGCGCGTCATGACGGGTTGGCACTGTACATCTCACGACTCATCCGCTCCGTTTGGAAAGCAAAGGTGCTGAAGGAGACATTGAAAGGCAAAACAGGTCTCACCGTGACTTCGACCCTTGCGACAGCGAAATTGCAAAGCGTTCAACAACACTTGGTCGCTTTACAGAAGTTCTTGGATGCAAACAAGAACTCAATCGAGGGGCTTGCTGGTCCAGAAGCCCTGACACGGGTACGGACACGGCAGGATGAGATGCTATTGCAAAACGAGCATCGGGCCATGAACGCGCTTGTTCGACTCATCACATCCATCATCGAAGGCATTTCATTTATCCTGGTGCTTTTCGACAACCCCATCGTTGAAATCATTCTCTCTCTGCCCGAAACCATCCGCCAACAGGTCCGCGATCTCACATTCGAAACTCTCTTCTGTTCGACAAGGGGACGGGACCTTGCTCGAGAGCTCGTCAAAGCCATCGTCAACCGCAGCATCGCCAGTGGATCCAACGTGGAGCAAGTTGCGGATGGTCTGCGAAGGAGATGTGGAAGCTTCTGCTCGGCCAACGATGTCTTGATCTTCAAGGCACAGGAGCACTTGACAAAAGCGACGGATGCGGGCATCAACTCGGAGTTGGCTCGTGTCTTGTTGAACGACAGCCTGAAGCTGTTCCAGAAAGTGGCGGGTAGCCTGAGCCTGGACTATCTCAGACTGGCCGTAGAGCAGTACACGCGGATGGCGTTCTTTGCGGGAGCCATCCAGCTGGTGTTACAAGTTGCGCAGGAGATGGATCGGAGTAATCGAGCATTGTCATGGATTAGGGATGGTTCGCCGGAAGCCGTGAGTTGCCTGCACTCACCCTCATTTGTTCTAACTGACATCCTTCAGGATCCACGGAAAGCGGCTTTCTACCAGCGAACCGAGTGCTATGATCTCATCCACCATATCATCAACGCAGTTGACCGTGCCGAGACGACGATGCCCGAAGTTCCCGAAGTCGTCACTGCCCGACGGAAACAGGAAGCGTACGCCCAAATCAACGAATCCACCGACGAGGTATTCCAAACCAACCTCTACGACTGGTATATCGGCCAAGGCTGGCAGGATCGCCTGCTCGATATCTCCTCGCCATACGTCGTCAGCTATCTCGAGCGGAAATCCAACGACGATGTTCAATATGCCAACCTGCTCTGGCGTTATCACTCACACTACAACAACTTCTACCAAGCAGCGCTTGTCCAGTTCCAGCTCGCACAGAGTGTCGTTCTGGACCTGTCTCTTGCCCAACGGATCGAGTATCTCAGTCGTGCGAAGGCTAATGCATCAACACGACTCACGGGCATGGTGGATGTTGCGGTATCGACGGCAAAGCAGGAGAAACTGCGAGAGATCTCCGAACAGCTCGACGTTGCAACTGTGCAAGAAGAAGTCCTGCAGCGCCTCCGGGCCGATCCACGGCTTCCAGAAGAGCGGAGACCGGAGGTGGAGAATGAATTGGGTGGAGAGGTTCTCAATTGGAGCTCGGTAAGTAGTCCAGCTTTCTTTCTGTCGTTATTCAAGAGCCATATACTGACACCGTCGCAGCTATTCAACGACTATGCCGATCAAGCGGGCTACTTCGACATCTGTATCCAGGTCTTCCACCACGCAGATTACCGGAGCACACAAGATATCTCCGCCACCTGGTCGAATCTCATCGAGCGGACTATCGTCGACGCGCAGGCTCAGGGCGGTGCCGAGCCATGGGAGATGGTGGTCGACATCGTCCGCAAACTAGGGACTCGCGTGAACCTATCCGAGACGGTTTTTCCAATCAGTACGTGCTCTCCCCCTACGTTACAAATTATCATGGTTTTTAGTGCTAATCCGAAGCGTGATAGATATGCTTGTCAACACCCTCCTCAACTTCGCCCAGCAGTACCTACAAGGCTCCCCCGCCCACTGGGTCACCAACGTCTTCCTTGAACTCGAAGTCCCCCATGAGGCCCTGATCAGTGCGCTTGAGGTGCCCCTCCACTCGCACGAACCACCGTTCGTCACCCCGGCGGAGCGGGCGGTCGTCGCGAACGAGGTGCTGCATGTGTGCGAGCATTGGTTCGCCGTGAGCCGCCGGGCGGGGGGCATAGCGTTTGGGAGCGAGGAGAACGCGGCGGGGGTGTCGGATGTGTTGCGGGAGGCGGCGCAGTTGCTTGTGCAGGTGCCGGGGCAGTATGACGAGGAGCAGTTGAGGGCGAGGGATTTGATGGAGGCGGCGGGGAGGACGTTGAGGGGGTGAAGATGAGGGGTGTGGATCGTTCAATAGTCGAGGGTTGTTTGATGCCAAAGAACGGGATGGCAATCAATGCTACGTGGCCGGGCATTCGTACCGTATGACGTTAGGAATCTGGAGGGGTATCCCGCATGGGAGCGAGCTGTTCTTGAATACTTCAGTACCATACAAAAGCGACGGAAGTAGATAGCTTGGTGCTTTGGCGTGCTTATAGCGAGGCGTTGGTGACTGTCGGGAGACAACGTACAGAAATCGCATCATTGTCCATAGCAAATCTTTATCTTCATATCGTGCGTGGCTTGTGGGTGTTGACTGCCGTAACCGCAAACAATGGAGAATCACCTAGCAATTACTAAATGCCCGTACCGCAAAGGCTGAGGGCCGTTGAAAGCCGTTGAGACGGGGATGCAGATAATTTGCTTAGCAGAATCTCTTAGGGTCACAGTCCTCGGTTGAGGAGGACTGCAGCACCGTTTTAACCAGATAGTATCTCGATTCCTATTCCCTACTTGGTTTCCTCCAAACGGATGGGGCTTAGCCGTACTCCGTCGATTTTCAACGGCCATCAGGATGTCTTTGCGGTCCATCGCACGGCTAGATTCCCCCATCCTCTCAATGAGCAACCAATCCGTTCCGAGCTTTCAGATATGCCGCGCGATACTGATTGCTATCTGTCTCCTCAGTGCGGTTGAGCGGAGTCCATTTAGGTTCCTCCTTAAACAGGCGCATAGCCTTGATGTACTACGCACCGTCAGTATGATATCCCCTCAACCCGCAAACTCCCTCGTCGCATCATCACTCACATTGCCACCATCCGTCGTAAACCGATGATAAATTCCCGCCGGCAGGATAATCAAATCTCCCTTCTCCAACCGAATCCGCACCCACGCATCATTCTTCGACCGCACGTCGAAATACCCCGCCCCCTCCAAGATATATCGGATCTCCTCGTCCTCGTGCAGATGCTCGCTGAAGAACATCTTCAGCTTCGCGTCGTACGCGTCGCCCATGGTCTCCGGCGAGATGGCGATCTCGTCCCGGTTCTTGTAGCCGCGCTCCTGGGCGAGCTGCTCGACGGTGGCGAGGGTGGGGTGGTGGGAGTAGAGGACGCCGAGGGAGGAGAGGAGGTCGGTGGGGACGGGGCGGCCGGAGTCGTGAGGGCCACGCTGGTCCGCCTGGGTCGACACACGATGTCAGTGAGGAATTCCAAGAACCAGTCGGGGCATGAGTAAGTGGCGCCATTATGTCGCAAATTGGGCAAATGCATCCGCATGGGGATTGGGCACCTACCGGACTGTCATCGTACCAATATGCCTTCATCTTGGTCGCAAACAGCAGCGTCTGAGCACGTTTAGGGTCGGAATTGCTACAGGAGAACTCGATTCGCTCAACAGATTGGATTAATCTGTACGAATCGCCAAGTAATGGACTCTTGGCTTAAGTTCTATTAATATTACTGGGCGACGAGGAGATGCACATCTTATATACGTTCTCGATCAACAAAAGATCAACAAAATGGCGTCAAGGTGCTGCTGACTGAATGCTGACGTCGGATTGGTCATTTTGTTGCCCCGCAAAGCTCCAGTAAGCACTGTGTAGGCCTGCAGGATAACTGGTAACGACAGTGTGAGACAGCTGGACCTGGACACACTGCACTGCAGCTGCAGTGAAAGGCTACCTCCGGTGGGGACGAAATTGAGTTACGTTTCTTGGCATTCCCCCAACCACCACCACCATCACCACCATCACAGGGAGGCCCGATTCGCTCAAAAATAGCATAATATCAAAAGTATACTCTTTTCCTAACTAGGTGACTACTAGAAGTCTGTTTTGGTGAATTCTCCGCCGTGTTCTAGTTAAGGTCGTGGGAGTTGTGGTTGGGGGGATGCCAAGAAACATAACTCAATTTCGTCCCCACCGGCTGGGAGGCTATACAATAAGGTTATAAGGCGATAAGGCACCAAAAATTCGGAATTCACCCAAATTTCACCCACGTGCATTTCCGGAGCAACAAAAACAACACGAACTTCCAGTGAACGTGAAAGGCGCCAGAAGCGTACAGGGCCACTCAGGACGCTACAGTAGACTCTCAGTGTTTCGAGATTTAATGTTCTGAGGCCTAGACACGCGAAAATCACTTCCTCATCTCGCCACATGCCTATCCTGTCATAGTACCATCGGCTACTATCGGGTTGAGGATCTAGATTTTCTTTTTTTAACCAAGTTAACTCCTTGCTCCTCGCTGCTTTAGTATCTCAATAGACCTTTTGTTCTCACGGTTGAGCTCCTGGACATTTGCTGTTTTCCCGCCCATAAACCAAAATGTCGCTCCCAGCCAGTGTCGAGCATGGCGTCTACGACTCCATCACGCAGCACATCGGTCACACACCTCTCGTCCGGTTGAACCGCATTCCTCAGTCACTCGGCATCAAATGTCCCGTCTACGCAAAGGTCGAGCTCTTCAACGCAGGCGGCAGCGTCAAAGACCGCATCGCCTTGCGTATGATCGAAGAAGCAGAAAAATCCGGGCGCATCAAGCCAGGGGACACCTTGATCGAACCCACGTCCGGAAACACGGGCATCGGGCTTGCCTTGGTGGGCGCGGTGAAGGGCTACAAGACCATCATTACGTTGCCGGAGAAAATGTCGCCGGAAAAGGTCGCCGTGCTGCGTGCGTTGAAGAGTGAGATCATTCGCACGCCCACGGAGGCGGCATTTGACAGCCCGGAGAGCCATATCAGCGTGGCGATACGGCTGCAGAAAGAGCTGCCGAACGCGCATATCCTGGATCAGTATGCTAATCCGGATAACCCGCTGGCTCATGAGAAAGGGACGGCGGAGGAGATTTGGGCGCAGACGGGCGGGAAGGTGGCGATGGTGGTTGCGGGTGCAGGGACGGGCGGCACTGTGACGGGAATCGGGAGGGGGTTGAAGAAGCGGAAAAACGACATCAAGGTCATTGCTGCGGATCCGGAGGGGAGCATCTTGGCCTTACCGGAATCGATAAACGAAGCGCATAAGAATGAGCCATACAAGGTGGAAGGGATCGGATATGACTTCATTCCGGAGGTGCTCGACCGAAAGATTGTGGACAAATGGTACAAGACGGATGATAGCGAGTCGTTCATGTATGCACGACGATTGATCGCGGAGGAAGGCCTACTGGTAGGCGGAAGCAGTGGCAGCGCGATGGCCGCGATGGTGAAGGCCGTCAAGGATTTCCCAGATCTGGACAAAGACTCGATCATCGTGGTTGTGCTGCCGGACAGCATAAGGAGCTATCTCAGCAAGGTGAGAAGCCCTCTTGATTTTCCGATCTCGATTTTATCGGGAAAGCTAAGCGAAGTTCTTCATCTGCTAACACCATTCAGTTCGCCGACGATGACTGGCTGGCCGCCAACAACCTCCTCACGAACCCGACTCCCGCCATAGAGTCCCTCTCCCTCCAGCCCCCCACCGCCGCCGCAAATGCCGACCCCTTCGGCGACGCAACCATCGCCTCCCTCCGACTCAAGCCGCTCACCTCCCTCCCGCTCACCGCACCCTGTGACGAAGCCGCCGAGACCATGCGCGACCGCGGGTTCGACCAACTGCCCGTGTGCACGGCATCAGGGAAGCGCCTCGTCGGGCTGCTGACGCTCGGCAACCTGCTCAGCTTCCTCGGCAGCGGACGGGCGGTGCCGACCGACCCGATCGAGAAGGTCATGTTTGATTTCCGGGCGATGGAGCCGGTAGGCGTGGATCCGTTGGTGGAGGGGCGAGAAGGGGAGATTAAGGGGAGGCGGACGCACGATCGGTTCGTGGAGATCACGGTGGGGACGCCGTTGAAGGCGTTAAGTCGGTTCTTCGAATGGAATAGTGCAGCGATCGTGACGGAGAAGCAGGAGACGGGAGGGATGAAGGCGGTGGCGGTGGTGACGAAGGTGGACCTGTTGTCGTGGTTGGTGAGGCAGAAGTCGAGACGTTGAACAAGGTCGTGATGACTGGCGCATTTGACTTTCCTACTGTATCATAGATCAATATTGGACGATATAATATGATAGATAGACGGTTCGTGGGCGATGGAGCGAAGCAGAGTGGTAATGGATCGATAGCGTGCGTGATGTTACCATCATATTTTCTAGATTAATACTCGATCGATTATTTATGTGTCAACCTGGAGGTGCCTAATACACACACCTACGCTATACCATACCGCCGAATGCAATACCAGACGATGTTCTACCAAATGCGCCCACCAAAGCGGATGAAACGAGGTTCGTTCATCGTATACATCGGCGCAAACTCGGCCTCTATAGGCGAAGGGTGGATGATGACTTTCAGTCTACTACGGGCCATGAGACTCGATGGGATGGAGATGATCGCCCAACATCGACTACATCCGCAGATACATAGTCTAAGACCTGATTGTTCAGACCGACGAGGATTCACATTGAGTTCGACGGAAGGGAATTTGGAGACGGTGAGTTGGGTCTCGCCTCATCAGGTGAGAGATGAATTCGTGGTCGGATGTTGAACGCTGTTTTGACTGATACTACTGTTTTGCATCCGTTGTTCGAACTTTGAAAACGAAATTGGATAGGTGACGCACGAGTCGTACGTCATGAGAGGTATTTTAAGAGAAACAGCGATGATTAGTACTATCTTCATTACAGCGGGACACACCAAGTCGTCCTCCATAAAAACGGTCCCTTCCGTCAGTACCTCTTCTTTGGGGACTGATATCTATCGTAGACAACCAGAACTAGCTGCCAAATCTAGAGCAGAAAAGGGGCTCCAGAAGCCAAATGATGCATTAATTGAGATAGACAGGTAATAATGGCTGACCGACTGAAGGCACTCCACATCGACACGAATCCAGATATCGACGGATGAAGGGAACCCTCCCCACCATGGACCATCCGTCTCCAAGCCCAACAATTCCTCGAAAATGCCGCATCTTAAATCTCCGAGGAAAATACTATTGTCATCAATCCGAATAGGAACCGGAGAGATTGCCCTCCCCCAACCCAAGGTACTGGTCGGCAGCCATGAAAAGTCAGAGAAACGCTTACGTCTCCCATTGCCAGCGTGACCACCCCTTTGTTTGCTACCCGCAGCCCCCTCCCCCAGCTGGCCCAACCATCCTGTCCTCCTATAAGTAGTGCTCACCAGTCCATCGTGTGCAACGTACGGAGAACGAGACCCAGCGCGGCGGATCGCACTACCATCCATCCCCAGAAAGACCTGCCCGCTGCCCCATCTGCTGCCCGTTCCCGTTCAGGCTCGCGGGCACCTGGCGGCAACAGCTGAAAGAGGGAACGCAGTCCAGCCAAACGGAGAATTGCTGACATTAGATTGACATGGATATGAGACGATGGATGTCCTGGGCAGTGGCGAGAGGTTCGCGTCGGATCCGAGGCGCGTGGATCCCGGCAGCGTTGCACACTATCGATGATCTGGAAAGGCGTTTCGACAGGATCGAGGAGGGGGCGGATATATCAGCGTCGCATAATGACTGATGCCTCCAGATAATATCGGTTCTGGGAGGTCTCGTAGGACGACATATAACAGTTGGACATGGTGTGTCGGCGCTAGCATTGCGTGCCACGATGATGTCGGCTCAGATGGTGCTGTGTCGCAGGACATGTGATTGTCATCGAATGGAAGCCCTGGCGCCGATCAGCCCTGCGTAGGTTCATCACGCCAGCTGAGCTCGATCAACCACGGTGCGGGAGGACAGAGGCCCTCCATTAAAGGGCGCATCAATTCATATGAGATTGTTGCAGCTATGAAATGATTTGGGAGCTATGGACAGCCGAGGCCGGGACGCCCATCCGCAGGGCGCCATTGATTGTGATATCGAGCAGTCTAGACGATCTACGATCGTTGTCAGACCCGCCAGTGCCAGTGGAAGCAATCTCCGGGAGGGTCGAGAACCAGGTCCAGGAAGTATTTGAAATCATGAAAGCGTAACTTGGATACTCGGCCATGAAATCTGTAGGGGCTAGACGACGATGTATGTTGAAACGCCGAGGTGCTCACGAATGGAGACCGTGTTGGATATGGAGATTAGGAATCCCGCGAGCACAGATGTGCGGTGGATAGAGACGGGACGGGTAGTAGCAGGATGCCTAAGGTATGGTCACCTATCCCACGTATCTAGGATAATGTTTAAGTGAAATCCTGAAGGCTTTTCCGGTTATAGGCGGAGGTCCTTCGTGCTGAGGTTGACTGCTTTGATTACATGTGGTGGTTAAGGGACGCGCCTTACCAGTGCTCAAATGCTTACCGCAGCCATCTAGAACGACGCCATAGAGAGGATCGTCCTGGAGTCGAATCCAGGTTCTTCTAGCCACAGTAACATCGAGGAATTTCAAAACCCGGCCCATGGATATCCCATGCGGCTCCATGGTGTCTGTAATCCATGAGATCGTCCACATCTTAGTTGGACCTGGTTCCTGTGCTCACAACGTCGTAGATGAGCTACGGCAGGCAATCGTTCGGGTCGGTGGTACGTTTGAAGGAAGGGGAAGACTAGTCATGGAAATTGTTGTGTTGCGCGATCACAACCTCGAGAACAATGGAAATAGGAGTTTAGCGCAGATTAGGTGGTGCAATTGAAGTTATCAAGGACGGTCTCAACATCAGAACAAGAGAATAGTGCGACTTAGAGCATTGAACATCGTGGAAAGTAAAACAACATACATGAGGTAATACAATATGGTTCACGATAGTACAATGACCGGTGGGTCGGTTCCCGTGCCTCGGTGTGTTCAGTTTTCCACATCATGCCACTGATTGGGAGTGTGGTTCTCTGCTGGGTGATTAATTCCCCAAACATCTCTACCCGCCAAAGGTATTGCTGTCGTGACTTCCTGGAACGCTATGTCTGCTGTGAAAGCGACCGACATTGCTCGCAGTGAACAGACCATGCGTTCGTGGAGCGCCCAAAGAGGCTAAACTATGCAATGATTTGAGATTTTTTGCATGGCAGAGAAGATGGTTCGCCAGATGATAGGTCTTGATCTCCAGTCTGTGGTCAGAAGATACCTGAATGGTTCTAATCATTGTCGACGTTCGGTAGTGCCAGAATCTGGTATAGCCCTTCTGAGGATCGAAAGAAATGGTGCAACCCAGGCGTAGCGATTGTACGGGGAACTTGAGGGTCTCGGAATATCTTCTGGCCACGAATTTGAATAAACCTCACCGTTAATGGTTCCCCACATGATCTCGACAGCCTCGATTGACAACCGATTGGATGCTCACCGCTAGACACTTGGACCTAAATTAGATCATCTCTAACAGTGGCTGAAAAGCCCTGTGGTTTTGTATACTGGCGTTCTCTTCACTCGTTTGCTCACAAACATGTAGCCACAGTCGGACAACATCATGGTTGCATTGGGGACGATCCCAGGGTCGCAACTTGACATGCATACGGCCTCCTGCATTTGCGGAACGGATTCACAGTGGCCATCGTCAAACTTCCCTCTAGTCGAGGTCATGATCCGAACGGAAGCCTACATTTCTCAAACCTTCTCGAAAGTCACTGGAAACTCCAGAAGGAGGGAAGAAATACGTTGATAATTGGATTCGGAAATGCGCGTTTCATAGCTAGCTCTCTACCATACTTTTGGGAAGCCAGTAGCCTCGACCTGGGATTAAGATTACGCTGTCGCTTCATTGCTTATGGGGCTGGTGTTGCGAAAATATAGCTCAGACGCAAAAGAAAACCCAGAGACCGATATCGACTTAGAGAGTCAGGGAATGTGACCTGGAAAGGTGCGTCATTATGAATAAGCGAGATGTGAGATGTGAGGAAAAATGCCCGAGATCGGCACGAAACGAGGATTTGAGGTGTCTTAGATGATTATGACATGGGCAGCAATTTTGGCATGTTTCAGGAGTTATGTTCATCAGCTCCTTTTCGGTACCGGACCGAAATAGACAATTGACACCACCTAAGACCCGACGATAGTCAGATGAGATCGAGCACGGCTCTAATATCTGAGACAACTCGCGAGTGAAACTTGTCCCAATTAGCAAAGGTTGGGCACCTGATCGATGTTGACCATATGAATGATTGATGATGAAGGAAAAGCTCCATGGTCATGAGCAGTCGTGCTCCAAAAACTTGAGGACGACAGGACTCAGTGATTCCAACGGGCCGCACCGCTGTGGGAAAACTTGTGGTGGCAGGCTGGGTACTACTCTGATTTCTTGTTTGGGTACTGAGAGGGACATTAGGACAGTTTGAATGAGCCTGGCGGTCAGGTAGATCGGAAGATGCGATGCAAGCGGCGGTGTTGCGTTGTACAACCTCAACGGCGACGAATCTGGCTTAGGTGTCAATAGTTGAATCGACGGCCCAAGAGCTAACATTTCTCCGGTCTGAACCTTCGACTGATATAGTTCCGTCCTGTTCTTGGGAAAAAAACCTGTTCGAATGAGGCCTGGATCCAGACGGCTGGGAGAGTTAAGGGACCCGCGCTATTGATCGTCGATGCATGCCTCGCCACTCCTAAGCAAATCGTCTGCACCCTCCTTTTCTTGCGTCGATATGAATCAATTGGGCATGGAAGCTGCAGAAGGGTTTGCTTCGCTGGATCAACACAAATCTCTCCGTTGCCTGCGAGATGGCTGGGTGCATGTCTGGTGCGAGTGTGGCGTTTCTCGAAGACCCCATAGGAGCGAAGTCTGGGTTAGCTAACCGGCTTGAATCTCGATGATTATACAGAGCACGAGACCCAACCCAGATACTAGCAATATGAAGACATGTTTCAACAGAAAGGAAATGAGCCTAGATACCGGGGGTAGTCCTGGTGAGGTGGTGAGGCTCTACACTATCAGCCCCGGTAAATGCTGAAAAGGGCAGCTCACATTGTTTCGCAGTCTGTTGCTGATAGAACAGGCACTGAAGCAACATTCCCTGCCGTGGAAGAAAACCTGTCCTGCTGACGACGGCAACGGGAAGCCGCATTAGGTCGATTGGATTTCTTGCTACAGATGAGAGGACCAAAGCACTGCCGAGCCAGAAATGTGGTCTCATCGGAAACAGTCCCGTTAATTGCAGCTCGCACAGTCCATAAAAGTACGGTCTGAATGTTGAGAGCCCAAATTGGCTGCCCAGATACAGTCTCCTCGGGTTGAGTGATTGTTGGATGATAATAGCGTTGAAGAGCGGAGGGGAACCGAAGATGGACTAGGAGCAGAGTCCCGGAGAAGCCGGTGAAAGTGGCATGCATTAGAATACTGCTATATTAGACATATATTTGCATACCGGTATGCAGATAGTTTAGACAGTGATGTAGTGTGAAGAATGGCCTGTAGTCGAAGACCGATTTGGGAATTGGGATGGAATGGAATGGATTGAAGGGAGAAAGGAGAAGAAAGGAGACATAATTCAGGCAGCAAGGGAAGAAGATGAGGCATCAAACATGAATCATGAATCACGACTTTGATCAATGACTGCCCGGTCAGACTCCATGAAAATATTCCAGAATAAGGTAGTTAACAGAATACATCCCATCTCCTTCTTACCACTACCATATTCGTTCCTTGTCATTGTGATGAAATTACCCAGGATAGTCGAAAATATCAAAATTCCATCTTTCGATCATCATAGTAGGGCACAAAGGAGTCTCAGCTATAGCCACCCCAATCTTCCCGGTTTCTGATCGAAGAGCCCACATGTTGCTTCCACCTCATCCTGCACGTCACCCTCCTCCAGGGTTCTCCTTCACCATATGGGAGCCAAGGTCAATAATTCTCCGATGCTGATGACATTTCTGGCCACCCGAGATGCAGCATCGACCACCATGATGACCGATCGCCAAGTGAGTGATGGGGTCACAGAGACTAGGGGAAGGCGGCATTGGGGAGACATCGACGCAAGGGGATACTTCGTCTTATCGTCTTGTCCACAAAAACGGCCAATGAATGCTCGTCCTAAACCTTGTCTTCTTGACTGACGAACTAGGATATGTGTTCTAGGTATGAACACTGCTCTTGGTTAACAACTAATCGCTTGATTAAGAGAGGGACGATAATTGTCCAGGAAATGGCTGGCCTGAGCCATCGGCAAGTTCCATCTACTACAGCGCGAGAGCTGCAAGTCGGCAAGGTAGCATCTCTTGAGAGAAGCTTGCAGCGGGTCAACCTGATTATCGGGTCCGGACATGCGAGTGCCATAGGTCAACCACTCACGGAACTTCGGTCGATCCACACTTGAAATGGCCAAGGAGATGTACACAAGCCCTCGTAAATTCCCATCCTCGTCGATGGACAGAGGCATACCAGGGGGCCTCATATGTCTGGGTCTTGGAGTAGAGAGTGGGCCAGTCTTCGGCACGAGACATATGCCTCGAGTGCTAAGTTTGCCGAGTCGGACGTAACAATCAAGGGATGTTTGTCCAGCGCGAGCGGCCCGACGAAATGTGCGGTCGAAGCAGTCGTCTCCCACTCACAACGGTTCTCTTGTTCTGCTGCCTTTCATTCCTAAGGCCAAACCAT